TCATGTTCAATGTCCATGTCACACCTATGCCGGTAGTTGTTGGGAACACTAAGCTCGAAGTTGTTGACGAGTATGTTTACCTCCGACTAGGTAAGTTCAACTTCGACCGAGAGGTCAATCGACGGATTCAACTCGGCTGGGCGGCGTTCGGGAAACTACGACACATTTTCTCGTCAGACATTCCTCAAAACCTTAAAACGAAATTGTACAACCAGTGCGTGTTGCCAGTGATGACTTACGGATCTGAGACGTGGTCCTTCACTGCTGGCCGTATGAGGAAGCTCAAGGTCGCTCAGTGAGCTATGGAGAGGGCTATGCTCGGAGTTTCGATGCGTGATAAACTTAGAAATGAGGATATCCGCAGTAGAACCAGAGTGACCGACATAGCCCAACGGATTAGTAAGCTGAAGTAGCAGTGGGCCGGCCATATAGCTCGAAGAACCGACAACCGATGCGTAAGAAAGGTTCTTGAGTGGCAGCCTCGTACCGGTAGGCGAAATGTAGAGCGATCCCCCACGAGATGGAGTGACGACCTGGTAAGACATGCAGGAAGTCGATGGATGCAGGTGGCTCAGGACCGTGCTTTGTGGCATTCCTCGGGGGAGGCCTATGTTCAGCAGTGGACTTTTGAAGGGCTGTAATGTTGATAAGTGCAACTGAATTAATTAATTTTTGACGGCATCTCATTTCTTTTTGTAGATAGTTATAGCTAGGTACTTCTCTACGCCTATTATTCCATTATATTATACAAATACAGGTACACTGGTTTATTCACTACAAATGTAACTTTGTAATCCTATATATTTATATGGGATTGCAAAGTTAATTATACAGTTGATTGTATCTAGAAAACTAGACCAAAATTGCAAAATATTTTAGTTTTTCCTTGATTTATACACTAAACACTAATTGTATTCTAAATTTGAATCTTCTACGTCTGTTAGAAGTGCCTTGAGAGTTTTGATGATCTGTCAGTCAGTGAGTGACAAAATTAAGAAACATTGACTAGTTATAATTTTTAAACTACTGGTTTAAATTGAATAAATTTCGAAATATATCGTGTTTATACAATGCCTACTTGGTTACTGAAAATTCTGGCTTATAGTTTTATCCACAACAAAGTTATAGGGAGTCGAAAATGGCCTGAACTGCTTCGAGAAAAGGATGGTACGGCCGTGCCGCTTTTTGCTCGACTTGGCGGGGGCACTGCTGTGCTGTGCCCCGGAAAATGTTTTCAATAGCATTAACATATATATTCACGCATGCATATAAAAAGATAACCTAGATCTGCTGGCACTGATCTCTGTCTGTTCGTAAAGCTTCATTACAATCGGTTAAGTCATTCTGAATATTAGCCTTGAGAGACAAATAGATAGACAGACAGACAAAAATTGTAAAAATGGTTATTTATGTCATAATTGCATGCAAGTAACTCCCTGAGCTTAATAGACGCCAGTTATATCAACGTTATAGACATATACTTCAATTTTATTTATTTATTCAAGAAAAGGTGGCAACCATATCAAAAAAGTTGACTTACCGCGTTTATAATGTTATATATTATAATCCACTTGAATGTGGCATACAGTTAGCAGTAATATTATGTTCGTTTGAAGAGCCAGCGAAAGATGGTTAGTTAAACGTAAAATTTCATTTTCATATTGTCAATATTAAGTTTATTGCTTGACTGTATGGGACATCTAAACCCTGCTAAAAACAAATTAATCAGCAAGCAAGAAAGTACTATATCCATTCCTAATCTTACAAAGTGGTGATGGTAAGCAGCACCACACCACATTGGTGATGTGACCATTAGTATAATATTCTTGATGCTGCACTCATCTACCACTTAGCAACGCCCACTTGGAACAGTGACTGGCATATTATGTAATATAAGTAATTTGAATGCGTCAGAGCTTGGTATAGGAGATTGTTGAAATTGGCACTGCCATTTCTACGGTGATCTACCTAAACCCTAAGCTAGCGCACCACACAGTACGTTACCAAAAGACGTCTTACTCCTACGTAAGCCTTTTCTAATTTGTTACAATCCACCAGGTGTTGTAGGCTATTAAGTGGTTACAGGTTTTCACATTTGGCACCTTAGGGGTCTGGTATTGTGATCGATATTCGCGTGTCACGCGCGTTATAACACTAAATGCTTCTAGAGAGAGCCCTATCTAGTCGGTTAACTGTTTATGGGTTGATTTAGGTCGGCCACATACATACGGAATTCCGTTTCGGAATCCCGAATCGGGATTCCGTGATACATCACACACATACGTTTTTTTTCCGTTCAGAATAACAAGGGTCAGTTGAGAACCGTTAGCCATTGAGTCTATACATTCTGCCAGCGAATAATGACGACGATTTTCTGATTGCGATTCCATTGTTGCTGTTATTCTTACTGGGTGCATCCCCTTATCACGCTAAGCTTGCAATATAGTCAATATTATGTAAAAAGATCTATCTATCCAGAGACATAAATATTTAGTCTGTAAATTCTTTCGACAAATTATTAAATAAAATAAGATGAAAGGTTACGAAAAGCTATACACCTACAAGATTAACCTTTTGAGCGCCACGCCAAAAACGCATTATCGTGTCCTGTACGCCAAAGCGAAAAGTAAACAAAAATACCTACGAAAAAAATAGTGTTGCCAAGAATTGATATATCGATAACAAAATAATTTGTTTTGTTGGTTTTTTACGCAATTTGATCTTTTGATTTAAATAAAAAAAAACTAAATCGATTTTAATGAAAACTGAATAGTCAATAGGATAGTAAATTAAATGTCGAATGAATTTAGTTTTTTTAAACTTACGAACGTACATGCTTAGGGGCGCCCAAGTTCTCAGACAAACAAACATCATTTTTAAAACTAGAATAGGACTATTCTTTCCACTTCTTTATCAATTCGCAAAAGTACATAGACATTTTTTTTAAATAGGATAGGGTGACAAACGAGCACACAGTCCACCTGACGATAAGTGGTTGCTGTGAACCATAGACATCTACATCTATCCTCAATAAAGAATCAAAATGCAGATGCGTCGTTACCCATGAGGACTAAGATGGAATGCCCCTTTTCCAGTGAAATGGGCCTCCGGTTCTCTACACTCACCATACGAAACAGTAGTGTCAAGCTGCCATTTTACGCTGGTATTGTGGTCCTTCCCCGGTTGAGCCGACCCATTCGTGCTACAGCTATACTACCAATATCGCTGCAGCATGGCTCTGCCACGTATAAGACATGGGCCTTTCCCCTTGTATTGAGGATTTATTTTCATTATCAGCTTTTAGATAACCGGAGACCCTTTTTACTGAAATCGAGGCATTTCATCTTAATCCTCAGGGGCGACGACGCATCTGTATTTTGATTTTTCATTGAGAATAAAAACAGATGTCTATGGGCCATAGTATCCACTTACCATTAACTGGATTATGTGCTCGTTTATTACCCTCATTCTATAAAAAAGGCATACTGTCAGGCGGCCAGGCGTCTGGCACATATGATGCTGCTGCCGGTGCTCACCGGGTTGAGTATTGTAATAAAACGAAATGCTTATACCGCTATCTATCTGAAGTCATAAGATTTTTGGGTATTTCTAACAGTCCTCTATTACGACACCCACGGGACGAAATTAATTGATGATTACAGACCTATTAAAACAACTTCCAATTGTAAAGTTAATAATTTGAAATTAAAAAATTTGTACAACCGACTTCAACATAAATTATTATGAATAACTCAAAAACTACTGGTCCGACCTTGATCAAATTGGGACCACATGTGAAGCACCAGCTTTCAAATAAAAAATAGAATCATCGAAATCGATTCACCCAGAAAGAAGAAGGTAACACACATCAAAAAAATATACAGTTGAATTGAGTACTTGTCCGAAGTCTGTAGACTGTAGATATTCTTAGTGAAGCACGATAGTCTCCAATATTAGAGAGATTTAGTATTACATATTATAGAGGCTTTTACGATTTTTAATGGTTGAAAAAATTAGGTTTCCTTAGTGCAAGTCGGCCGAGCGCTACTTATTCTAGTGTAGGTACCTGTGGTGTGCATTTATCGCAAATGTTTTGTAAAATCGGGGCAACTTCATATAGAATTCTGTATATGCCTCGCTTTTCAGTCGGATTGGCAATCCCAGTTGCAGGAGTCTCGCCACTTTCAAGTTGCTACCCGTCGGCTGCTTGGTTATTTTAAATCTAGCATACACTAGATTTAGTAATTTTTCGGGTATTTTTTTAGTCGACTCTTTTTATACATGGGGGCTGCCACAGGATAAGTTGAAGTGATAGGTTCTTGTACGTAGCCGCTAAACGTGTATAATATTATGGTTAAATTTTATGATGATTTTGTTTCAATTTACTTTCTATTCCATCCATTACGGTTTATAAAAGTGGTCATCCTGCAGATTTCCCAAATCCCCTTTGTTTAGCAACCGCCGTTTTTTTATTATTTTGTATAGTTATTAGAAAAATGCTGCTGCCCATCTCCTGCTCCAGTATCCCTCTATCGTTTCTTACGACGCGACGGGGCGATATGTAGTGTAAAATTATTATTGTAGAGTTATTTGGGGCAGAATCTTTCGAGATTTTCGATGAATCCGACTAATGCAAACTGGTGGGTGTTGGCTTAATATTTTTTTATAGTAAAAAGGTGAAAAGCTAGCACACAGCCCACCTGATGGTAAGTGGATACTGTTGCCCATAGACATTCTACATCTATCCTCGATTAAGAATACAAATGCAGATGCGTTGTCACCCCTGAGGACAAAGAATCAATGCCTCGCGTCCAGTAAAAAGGTTATTTAAAATATGTGCAAATTCGTAGTGATAAATTAGATGTGTTTAAATTTAAAACTATTTTTCATTTGTCTAACTAACGTTGATTGATGAATCGAGAATAATTTAGCACGAACGCTTTAGTAACTTGTTTACTAATGTTCAATATTATTTACAGGTAGCCCATCACGACTGAATAATGAATATCATATTGATATACCTGACATTGGTATCAATAGCCCAGCTATGCACGGGGCAGGACTACGGCACGCCAACTTACAACCCAGACGCCCCCGGCCCCACCAACGACTATTCCAACCAGTATGACAACCCTTACGATCCGAACAGAAGGAACCCCAACAGGAATCCGTATGATTTGAGCCAGTACGACACGAACCGTAACCAGTACGATCCGAACCGGAACCAGTACGATCCAAACCGGAACCAGTACGATCCAAACCGGAACCAGTACAACCAGTATGAAAATCGAAATGATCAAACGTACGGGCAGAATACTTATAACTCCGATAACACTCCAAGACCTTGGGACGGGAGCCGAAATTACGGCACCTCGCTTAAAGTCTCTGAATTAGAACATGATAGCGTCATTATTAACGAAGCGTAAGTAATGATTTCTTATATTTACGCGAACACTCCACATTGATTAAAACTACTTTTACGGATTTTTTCGCGTTTAATTAACTTATTTTTATTAATTTCTGATTTTTCGGGTGCTTTACAACACCCATGGTCACGTCACCTCAGTCCCCCGTGTGGGGGACGCGGGGGACTGAGGTGACATGACCATGGACCACTAAGAAAAATAAGTTAATTAAACGCGAAAAAATCCGTAAAAGTAGTGTTATTCGAAGCCTAAGTATTTACTATCTCTTATATAAATATTGATAGATAACTGTTTTAAATTTGAAAATCGTAATTTTAAGCCTGGTGCATATACATGTTTAAAAATGCGTAAATTCGACTTTTCTACTAAATTTATATTATAAATACGAAAGTTTGTGTGGATGTTTGTTACTTGTTAAACTTGGCAACATTAAAGATTACAAATCTGAATAGGACAAGGGCTAAATTTTTTGTGTAAAAAAAGTTTGTGGTTATTTATAGAATAGGGGTGACAAACGAGCATACAATCCACCTGAAGGTAAGTGGATACTGTGGCCCATAGAACTCTACATCTATCTTCGATTAAGAATCTAAATACAGATGCGTCGTCACCCCTAAAGATTAAGATGGAATGCCCCGATTCTAGTATAAAGGGTCTAAGAGACCGCATAAGACCAGATTTATCCATTCATATGGTAACCCTGTATCCACGTGGTGGTGGTCCCCAGAAAATGGTGTCAAATTACCTAAACTTGGTAAAAAGTTACCCGCCCACATCCGCTAATTGAAATAAAATGATGTGTTTTACCTAGTTCGAAGAGCACCTCCCGCCCTTCCTCAATTGATGTTTTGTTAATCTGTGTGTATTTTTCAGCACATATTTCATAGTGGCGTCCCGCATGGTCCGTCCCGGCCAGGTTTACAAGATCTCGGCCAACATCTTACGAGCGCGTTTACAGATGACCATCCGCGCATCTATCTCACGCAACGGCGTTGAGGTCGCCGATGTCATCGAAAAGGTCAAAGAGGGAGTACCGGAGATTTTGAACATGCGTGTAAGTTTAGTTTCGATGAATTTAGCGAGATATATTAGTAGTTGATTGGGATTGTTTTTAAAATACGCTTTTGTACTTCAACTTCGTATTGTCCTACATGTTTCTTTTTCCTACAATAATATGTGACAGCCAATTATTTATTTTTAAAAACACTATTGCCAGCTTTATTCTGAGGGTATTGTAGATAGGGTTACCAGATGTAAAATTTAAAAGTCCCGACAAATTCCCTGATTTCCATTGAAAAGTCCTCACATTTACAACAACGTAATTTACTACTGTCGAAAAAAAAAATAAATTATTGGTTTTGTTTATTTACGTGATAAATTCACGCCGCAGATTCCATCCCTCGCACGTAAAATATCTACAGAATTTTAAAAAAGCTAGACATTTCCAAATTCTGACCGCAATCCTCACAAGAGCCCAAAAGTCGTGACATTTCAGGACAGTTCCTGACATATGGTATGTCTAATTGTAAAGGGCTTGATGGCCCGTAGTTGTGAATCATAGAATACAATGGCGAAGGAACGGAATACACGATTATTGTCGCCTGGTCGCCCATACTTGTAAGTCAAGAGCACGCGTAAAAGGAATCGTGATAGATATGTCTACAGAATGATCTATTGTTTCCGTTTTACTGCATATAATCGAAATTCAAAATAATATTTACTGCTACATATTGTATAAAATTCTCTGAAATCACACACAAATCATTTTATAGAGCACATACGAATATTGAATAATATAATTATACTTTAATATTTTATAATTAAAAGTACAATATGAAGCAGAACTTTTTAGAAGATTTTGTCGGTGTATGTGTTTTTCCTTTTCTTGAAATAAAATCAAATAAATATCAACAAAGTGTAAAAACAAAAGCGGTCTTAACTACAAGTAATTCTCTCTGATATCGTTGAAAAGTACTGGTTTCGTCCTCAATAAAGTAAGTAATGTGCTGGCAGGTTAACCAAGTTAACTTTATACCAATCTCTCTTAATGCTAAATTATCTCAAAAAAAAAATTAGTGGGCTTGACTTGAAATAATGAGATCAGCTTTAAGTCACGTGACTTAACATTTATCTCTCAGTCAAAACTGAAATGGATGTTACGTATATCATATCATACGGCTTAATTTTCGTTTTTACTTACTAAAATGTAACAAAATAACAAACTAAAATGTTACTGTTAATAGAATTAGGCAATACTTTGCGGAAATCCATTAGAGATGTTAAAAATCAATCGACTAAGATCCGAGTAATAAAATAAAATGACGTGTCTTACCTAGTGTGAAGGTTACCTCCCGCCCTCCCTCATCTCAATTGCGTGCACTATCCCCGTCACCACTACTCCCAATACCACCGTCAATAATACGACACGTGTTTCGCCTCTAAAAGAGGCATCATCAGGTGAAATAGATTGTGCGGTGGCTAACCGCTGAGAGGTCACTTAGTGAGGTTAAAATTTAACGTTGGATTTAATTCTTTAGATATAGTCCTGTTATGTTATGCCCTATAAGATTTTGTTATACGTAAGTATAATATTGTCATTTTTAGATAAATGCGCTAACGCTGTTTAGTGACGATGTAAAAGAATCCACGCTACCTCGTAGCATGCTTCCTCATCTATTACTGGGAGTTGTAAGTAGCATCAGAGGATAATGAAATAGGCGCTGGACAGTAACATTTTCCTGATAACAATGTAAAAAAAACTATTGGTAAATCCAATTGTGCATGCCCTAAGCGCATTAAAAAAAGTACGTGTAATATGATTATATGTAATTTTTTTAAAGTAGTTTAAATACACACAAGTTTTCACTAATAACCTTATTATTGCCATATTATACTCCCAATTTTCCAATAATTTTATATCAAACTTCAATTAAAAAAAGTTTGGATAATCCAAAAATGGCCCGACTCATAATGCTCATATGATAGTGAAAAATAAAAAAAATGTAAATTGTAGTTCTATTCAACAAAGAGTTCCAGTAGCAGTCACCGAAGTACACCTTCAAGTCGCTCCGTCAAGCCCGAAGGTAAGGTATATACATAACTAACAAAACGAGCCCAAAATCGGCACACCTATTATTACTCGTCGAGGAGTTCCAGTAGCAGATAGTAGCATCTTCAGGTCTTCATAAAGTCCAAAACGTATAAGTTTATTTATATATAAATCCTGCGTACTTTTAGCGAAACAAAATAATGTAATAAAAATCTCTGATAATATCTTACCTTGGTCAAGTATGTATCAAATTAGTATTTTGGAATATTTTGTAGTACTACATCGATATAGATATTTTTCAGCACGACCCGCTGTAAACAAACAACTACTCACGACGGCGGCTGAGCCCGGAGTAAAAAACTAAAAAAGTACTCTGTGGCCCAGAGTGAGGCAAAGTGTATTTGGTAAAATAAATTATTACAAGGCTTCTCAAAACACCGAAAATTACGGCATTTCTCAGCCGAAAAACGTTAATTATAACTAATCAAAACAAAATTAAACTCCCATTTACATTCCATGGCTTCCCACATGATATATGAAGAGTAGAAAATAGACTGAGTTGAACAATTGATCAAAAGAAAAGTTATCGTGTTTACCCCACCATGCGGACTTGATAAATCTACACCTTACCGCTTTTTTATGTAAAAATAGCAATTGATCGTTTTAAAAAACTAAGTTCAACAATAATTTATCTTTCTGACAATATACTTTTTATATTATTTATATGTCAAATATGATTGTTAGATACGATTTCATGCGACAAAGGTTGGAATTTTGATTTTTAGGCGCTAGTAGAACATACCTACGCGCTTTGCGCTTAAGGCATGCAATAATGCCAACCCGCCTGCCAAAGGTGGGAACTATAGCAGATATCCTCCAATGAGGCAATCTATAGAGGTGGCTTGTGATCAGCTGTGAACTCTTGATGGGCTGTGATGAATGAAATTTCTTAATTAATTAGTATTTGGTCTTGTACACCTCATCAATGCTACATCTATATAAATAAAATGATAGAGGTTTGCAGTTGTGCGCGCATCACGGAAAAACTACTGCATAGATTTCAGTTAGGTTTTCTAAGTTTTATTTCCTAGACGCTTGGCCCTTATGTAAAAAAAATTTTGCGATATCTTCATTCATATAAAGTTATTATAGTTATAAGAAACAACAATTTTTATACGAGGTTTTTCACACGGTCAACTGTAAGTCACTTGCTCTCGCGTTACTAAACCAAATCATTTATATAATATTTTAGATACACACGGCGCAACGAATAACATTGTTTACAATGAAATTTTGTAGTGAAATATATTTTTACTTGCGAGATTTATTATGTTTTTTCCTTTCGGACATACGAAAACTTTGTTAATATATCAAGCAACGCGAACAAAGTCGCGGGTATCAGCTAGTATAAAATGCTCAATTATCTAAGCTCAAATATGTCAAGCCTCCTGGCTAACAGCTCGAACATCTTAGCTTTAACATCTCCTTATTACCAGATGCCGTTCACGACGGCGCCTGGAGACTACAAGCTACGCGTCGAGGGTCTGTACCTGGACGACCCGTTCGGTGGGCGGGCCTTCGTCAACGAGACGCAACTGACATTCTCCAGCCGCTTCATGACCATATTCATACAGCTCGACAAGCCCGTCTATAAGCAGGGACAAACTGGTACGTTCTTGGATTCACTGAATGTGACTATAATGAAATCTAAATAGTTCTTACATTTACATGAATACTACATACACATCGAATCAAAACTAATTTCACCCTTTTTGACTTATTTTTATTTCCCAGGGTATATATAGGTCACGGGTGCTGTAAAACACCCTCAACATACAACAATAATGAAATGTCTTTATTTCTTTCGACAGATGAAGTAAGTTTGTTTTGTTAGTGGCAATTGGTTTTTAATCTATTACCGGTAAATATGAGAAATATTACTGGTAGAGTAGTAGTACCATTAAATATGAGGAATATTACCGATAGTAATAAAAGCCGTGGTAGGTCAGATGGTTAGCGCTCGCTGTAAGTTTCACAGTGCGCGAGCAACCCGGGTTCGATTCCCGTCGGCACCAATGAAATTGTTAATTGCAATTTTAAGTGCTGATTTGCCACCTGCTCGGCGGTAAAGGAAAACATGGTGAAGAAACCTACATGTCTGAGAAATTAGAAAAAAAATATTTCGAGACATGTGAAGTTCCTCAATACGCATTGGGGCAGCGCAGCGGACACTTCCTTGCCCTAAAACCCTCTCAGAAGTGAGAGGAGGCCTGTGCCCAGCGGTGGGACGTATGTAGGCTGTAACTTTAAGTTTATGAGGAATATTGTTACATTTATACATATTTTGCTCACAGTGAAATTCCGAGTCATACCAATAAGTACAGAACTGAAGGCGTCCGGCCGAGCCATCGATGTCTATATCTTGGACCCCAATGGACGGATCATGAAGCGGTGGCTGTCACGACAGGTTAGTGTTGCTGACTACGTATATCATAAAACATGGTGTACTGGCGATCAGCCCTGGCTTCGCACGGGTGATTACTTGATCCTAACAACAGCGCCACCTGCCGGGCCAAATTGTGAATCGTTTAGAATATAAACGTGTGTTTGAGTGGGTCTAAAGTTTAGATCATCCAGGGACCCACTCAAACGCACAAAGAATTTAATCAAAACCGATCCAGCCGTTTAGGAGTTCAGTCACATACACACGGACAAAATAATTATGTATATAAATATTAGTAATTATTAAGTTATAAGAAACAAAATAGAGGGAAATAAAACTAAATGAAGTTAAAACGAGTTGAATGTAAATTCAAGAAAAACAACTTCCTTCTGCGTGAATCCCATATCTCTGGTGTCCTTTGACCTACAGGACCCAAATTCAAACTCGACCGAGCTACTACCTCAAGGTATCCACATAGCAAATTTAAAGTCAATCGGTCCAGTGGAACGGAAGTTATCGTGTCGGCATACAGACTAACAGACTGCCAGCTAAAAAACCATTAACTTCCTTTCAATGCTACGCAGAAGGAAGTTAATAAAGATTAAACCATAACATTATTGAGTGTCAAAATATCATACTTAAACATTTCCATTGCATATGATAGTATCTTATTCAATAATTATTGTTTCTTCGTCGCTAATGTTAATAGCATGCTTTAATCTTTCACTGTGTAACAAAACCCCCTGCTTCCTGTTGGTCACTACATGACACGATGTTATTAATTAAGTAGAGACAATAGAGATACATAACTCCAATTGGGTATTTTACACTGTAGTCAACTGAAATACTATTTCAATAGTTATTAATGACTTAATAGTTTTTATGGTCAACAAACATCTTATTTGTGAATTAGTTCAAAATGGAACGGCTACGAGTTTTTGGGACACTGCTAATGTAGCAAATTTGCATAATTTAACTTAGTTTGTTTTGATGGTGTCCAATACTCAATTATAGGCTTTTTAGGAAACAGTAAGGTATGTTTATAATTCATATATATGTGTAATGTGTGAAAGTTCACAAACCAGCGTAAAAGTAATTTTAAAACGTAAATACATCCAGTTACTGGGTACAGGGTATATATAGGCCAATTTATCAGCCGCAATAAAAGTTACATTTAACAATATCATTGGTGAACTTGGGTTGTTGCATATTATTAAAATATTATCAGTATGAATGATTATAGTTTAAACACAAAATTACATTTCTTTTTATTTGTCAGTCAATAATCTATGGCTGCTAAGATGAAATTGGAGTCTGCAAGTAATAAAACAGTATTTCTTTTTTTTTTTCAACTTGCTTCAATCATACATTCAAGTATAAGTGTCTAGGTCTTATTGTTTGAAACTAGTTGTATGGCTACTTATATACCTAGGAGGCCGTGTATAACTTCTCATCAAGCAGCAGTTTTGATCCACGATTTTGATTTTACCACGGTGCGGTGGCAACACATCCGTAGCCTCCTTTATATAACGTTACTTGCGGGTGTCCTTAGGAGGAGGAAGCCAACTCGTCTGTTACTATGCTTAGAAAATTTGCTGATGATTTTTATTTGTTTATGTAATCAACAGAGCAACTTCGGTACTGTAAGCCTGCAGTACCAGATGTCGGACCAACCGCAATACGGCGAGTGGTCGGTACGCGTGGAAGCTCTTGGTCAAATAGAGGTGGCGCAATTCCTCGTTGAAGAGTACTACCAGACACGTTTCGAGGTAAATATTATACCTTTAAAACCCTTAAGTGCTGATGTCATGTACGAAGGTTAAACTCAATCTGGAATTTGGATCATTGAGCTAAATTTCATACAGCCTAGCAGTAACTGTTAGCTCGATTGTAACTCTAAAATTATGTAGCGTTACAACTAAATAAAAGATTTTCGTGTTTGACATTACAGCTTTTGAAATTATCCAACTATGTATGTAGAGTATATATAGATATAGTAGCCATAGAGTAGCCATGTTCTATCCAAGTATTGTATGTAATAGAAAGTTTTATTATCTCCTCATTTTATTTTTCCATTTCCTGCTGTATTATGATTATTGAAATTATTATCTATACTGGATGCCTTTTTTACCGTCTTGAAAGAATAGGGTGTAACAAGTGAACGTAGTAGAAGCCTATGGCACTGATATTTTGCAATTTTTTATATGTTTTTTTCAAAATATTGAATTGATCTGTCATTAAATAATATTAGTTCGAAGTAAACTGTCCATACTAAAAAAAATAAAATCAATAGTTTTGAAATAAATCAATAAATCAATTCAAAACTATCGAAATTCAAATCATACGCACCTACTTTACGAGCGACAATAATATAAATGAATTTGTAACGCGATGTGCGAAGAGGCCTACACTCTTTGATGTCCTTTAGCAGGCGCAAGTGCCACCCGCGCACCCGCCTGCGTCCCGCGCTCTCATTTCAGTTTTTAGTCACCTGCAATTAGCCACGGCGTGAAGTCGTATTGTTTATGTTTCTGCATGTGTGTCGGCCGCCTGCTTATAGTAGTTATTGTAAACATGCACCAATACTCTAATGTCGAGTATCTACTTAGCAATGGTGAGATTTTATGTCTTGTCTGGTGAAAACTTAGACGGTGCGAGACGAATTACGCAAAAGAAAAACAATTAGAAACGTTGCGCAGGGGCGGTATCCCTGCTCCTCAAATTCGCACTTTTACTTTTAGCATTGATTTAATATTACGGAAGTATCAGCGCTTACGTGATCATGGCTAGTTCGGGTTTCCCAGCCATGCAAGTAGGGCAGGGGCTGGCCACCCTTGTCCAGACACATTGGAAACGCCATATTGCACTACTTTCAACGACACCCGAGAAGGAGCACCCGGCAAGCCACTCGACGGTTTGGCGTAAGCAAGTATGTGGTATGGAAGCTACTTCATTCAATGAATATACATCCATACCATTTCTCACGCGTACAAGCTTTGCATGCGCCCGACCCCGGACCACACAAGGAGTTTTGTCTTTGGCTGCAGGACCATGCGCAGGCTAACATTTTGTGGAGCAACGAGTCGATATTTACCCGCGTTGGAATTTACAATGTGCACAATGAACACTGGTAAAGTTTCCAAAACTTACACTAAATCAAAGAACATATTACACATTCGTTTCAGTGTTAACGTTTGGACGGTGATCATTAACGACCACATCATTGGCCCAATATGGACTGAAGCTCGATTGACGGGAGTAACGTATCTGCAAATGATATGTTCCGTCATCGACACAATATTGTAAAACGTTCCTCTGAACCATATATATATATATATATATATATATATATATATATATATATTTATGCCAGTAATGTACTTCCTGCACGACGGATGTCCAGCTCATTACGAACGATCTGTAAGCGCATATCTGCACAGCCAATTCGGTGATAGGTGGATAGGTCGCGGTGGACCTGTGAACTGGCCGGCGAGATCACCAGACCTAACACCTCTTTATTTTTATTTGTAGGCCGAACTAAAATGATTACTGTACACAGAAGAAGCACAAAGTGTTAGTGATTTAAAGCAGCGCATAATAGACGCTTTTAATGTGATAAATAGTGATTTAGACAGTCGAAGTCGTAGTTTACAAAGAAACGGTGGTCATTTTGAACAATTGAACGCTAAAAAGGTTTTTTTTTGTAAATAACAATTATGTAGTATAATTTTGTAAATTAGTTTAGTTTGTACATAAGTTGATTTCGATCTTTTAAATATACGCCTAAGATGTTGCAGTATACGGTAGGCATAAAGTGATTATTAGAAACTGTTTATAAATTCATTATAGCACTTTTCTTATTCTAAGAAACTTTCATTCGCTAGCGTATAACCTATGCCGTTTAAAATATCACCTATTTTTAGTTTTACACAAATGCCGTAGGATGATTTGTTTTTATGTATTTTTTTTGAATATACGGAAATTTTGCCGATCAGTTATATTTTACAAATACTATCGACCTTTCGAGGATAGCTTCTATTCCACTTACACAAAACATCATAATATAATCTTCCAGACGGTAAAAAGTCACCCAGTATAAATATTAACACGTGAAGTTAAGTTGATATAGGCAAGGACAGTGCAGAAAGCTAAAATTTGTATATAATATGTGTTACACACACATTAAATGTATTATAACATACATGGTTTACGAGAGTAAGCACAATCATATTATGTAAGTTTTTACTCTAAACAAACACTTAATAGTTTGCGGTCAAACATTCGCATAGAGTAGACACTGCCGCCAAAGAATTTTAAAATGTTGCCAACAATTAATTACGGACAGATCGACTGAATAATGTGTCAATATTTTGTGATTTCAAATATTCCCATTTTATTAATGTGAGGAGTGTACATGATATGTGTTTTACATTTTAATGTGCAGTTGAAAATAAAATAAAGCTTGGTTTGATGAATCCATGGCGGTGTGGCTTAGCAGCGAGTTTCTCAAAATATGGATAATGGAAATAATCAAATGTCAGTATCAGCATGGGTTGTTACAAAAAATTACACTATCGGAGGCATTTCCGCAAGGTTGGTTTGGTTGCTCATGTAAAATAGCATCACGCTAGAAGCAGGAGTGTCAGCGGGCCTGGGCTGACGCATTAATGTCTCGGGATGTAAACACCAGTGCTCTTAAAAAGAAGTAAAATTCCGGCTCCAGGTCCTTCAAAAGCGTCATTGCCAAGGCAAGGTCTGAGCACATCGGCAGAATTGGCGAGAAGCTAGTTCGCCTTCCTTCGGGAAGTCGTGCATTCTGGTTTCTCGCCAATACTGTCCAAGGGAACTTCTCTCAGCCATCTGTTCCATCTCTGCACAGAGAGGACGACTCACTGGCCCATGCCGCAAAGAAGAAAGCCGATCTGTTAAGCTCTTTCTTTGCGTCCAACTCGATTCTAGATGACGGAGGGAACACACCGCCGACCATCCCGCGGTGGAGTGCTCCATGCCGGATGTGCGGTTTATACAGCGATCGGTTCGCTAAGCACTCTTTTCCCCGGACGTCAGCAAGTCGAGTGGGCCTGATGGAGTCCCCCCATTGTGATGAAGACGTGTGCTCCGGTTTTAACGCGTCTTTTCCGGTACTCCTATTCCAAAGGCGTAGTCCCGAATTCATGGAAGACAGCTTTGGTCCACCCGATCCCTAAAAAGGCGACCGCTCAGACCCGTCCAACTACAGGCCTATCGTCATCACCTCCTTGTTCTCCAAAATAATGGAATCCATTATAAACTGCCAGCTCATGAGGTACCATGAGGATCACCAGCTGATTAGTGACCGCCAGTACGGTTTTCATCAGGGTTGATCAGCTGGTGATCGGGCGGAGGCAGTAGAGTCCAACGGGGAGGCATTGGCCGTTAGTTTGAACATAGCGAAGGCCTTCGATCGGGTCTGGCACAAAGTGCTTCTTTCTAAGCTACCTTCCTATGGGCTTCCCGAGAAATTGTGCAAATGGATCACCAGTTTCCTTGCTGATCGGAGCATCAAGGTCGTAGTAGACGGTGCATGCTCTGATTTCAAGCCAATTAACGCTGGTATTCCACAAGGCTGCGTGCTATCACCAACGCTGTTTCTCCTGCATATCAATGATATGTTGCAAACTGGTAACATTCATTGCTATGCAGACGACAGCACTGGTGGATGCCTTATATACCGGCCATGCCAATATTTCTCGGGAAAACGTCGCCGAGTACCGGGACAAACTTGTGTCTGAAGTCGAATCTTTGCTGAGCAAAGTCTCGGATTGGGGGCGACTAAATCTAGTCCAGTTCAATCCGAATCGAATCCTCGGCGTCGACATATAGTGTATAGTATAATAGTGTGCAGTTTCGTGGTCACTTGGAAGGGAAGGCCAAATTGGTCTCTAAAAAGCTTGGCGTGCTCAGCAGAGCGAGACAGTATTTTATGCTGGCTCAACTCGCTTGCAACTTTACAAAGCGCAAGTTCAGCCTCACATGGAATACTGTTCTCATCTCTGGGCCGGGGCACCCCAGTGCCAGCTCCTTCCACTTGACCGCATCCAGCGCAGAGCGTTTCGAATCGTCGACGACCGAGTCCTTTCTGATTGGCTCGACACTGACATTGCGTAGGGATGTTGCATCCCTTTGCATTTTCTATCGAATTTACCACGGGGAGTGCTCTGAGGAATTGTTCGCATTGATTTCACGAACGCACATCGCATCAAAATTCACGATACCATCCTCACCATCTGGATGCTTGGCGGTCAACGACTATGCTTTTTACTAGCAGTTTTCTTCCTCGTACAACTTTTCTGTGGAATTGTTTACCACCGGCGATTTTTCCGGACCGATACGACTTAGGGACCTTCAAGAAAAGAGCTTACACCTTTCTAAAAGGCCGGCAACGCATCTGCAATTCCCCTGGTGTTGCGGTTGTACATGGGCGGCGGTAGTCACTTACGATCAGGTGAACCGCATACTTGTTTGCCCCCTCTTCTATAAAAAAAAGACTTTCCAAATTGGATGATCATCACCATGCCGTTTTTAAATGTTTTTTAATTATTACAATTTTTTGAGAACCTGCACCCGCCGACTATTTAATAACATCGCGTCGCCTGATCCCAGGTGAACGTGACGATGCCGGCGTTCTTCTTCGACACGGAGCCGTTCATCCACGGGCGCGTGATGGCGAACTACACGTCGGGCGCGCCCGTGCGCGGCAACCTCACGCTGAAGGCCACCGTGCGCCCCGTGCCGCAGTACCGGCCGCGCTACTTCACGCAGGGCCAGTTCAACAACCGCGGAGACCCGGCAGCGTACGGGCTCTACGCCACCACACAGTACACCAGGGGTAAGGCACCACCACCACCACCACCATTGTGCGCCCCGTGCCGCAGTACCGGCCGCGCTACTTCACGCAGGGCCAGTTCAACAACCGCGGAGACCCGGCAGCGTACGGGCTCTACGCCACCACACAGTACACCAGGGGTAAGGCACCACCACCACCACCACCATTGTGCGCCCCGTGCCGCAGTACCGGCCGCGCTACTTCACGCAGGGCCAGTTCAACAACCGCGGAGACCCGGCAGCGTACGGGCTCTACGCCACCACACAGTACACCAGGGGTAAGGCACCACCACCACCACCACCATTGTGCGCCCCGTGCCGCAGTACCGGCCGCGCTACTTCACGCAGGGCCAGTTCAACAACCGCGGAGACCCGGCAGCGTACGGGCTCTACGCCACCACACAGTACACCAGGGGTAAGGCACCACCACCACCACCACCATTGTGCGCCCCGTGCCGCAGTACCGGCCGCGCTACTTCACGCAGGGCCAGTTCAACAACCGCGGAGACCCGGCAGCGTACGGGCTCTACGCCACCACACAGTACACCAGGGGTAAGGCACCACCACCACCACCACCATTGTGCGCCCCGTGCCGCAGTACCGGCCGCGCTACTTCACGCAGGGCCAGTTCAACAACCGCGGAGACCCGGCAGCGTACGGGCTCTACGCCACCACACAGTACACCAGGGGTAAGGCACCACCACCACCACCACCATTGTGCGCCCCGTGCCGCAGTACCGGCCGCGCTACTTCACGCAGGGCCAGTTCAACAACCGCGGAGACCCGGCAGCGTACGGGCTCTACGCCACCACACAGTACACCAGGGGTAAGGCACCACCACCACCACCACCATTGTGCGCCCCGTGCCGCAGTACCGGCCGCGCTACTTCACGCAGGGCCAGTTCAACAACCGCGGAGACCCGGCAGCGTACGGGCTCTACGCCACCACACAGTACACCAGGGGTAAGGCACCACCACCACCACCACCATTGTGCGCCCCGTGCCGCAGTACCGGCCGCGCTACTTCACGCAGGGCCAGTTCAACAACCGCGGAGACCCGGCAGCGTACGGGCTCTACGCCACCACACAGTACACCAGGGGTAAGGCACCACCACCACCACCACCATTGTGCGCCCCGTGCCGCAGTACCGGCCGCGCTACTTCACGCAGGGCCAGTTCAACAACCGCGGAGACCCGGCAGCGTACGGGCTCTACGCCACCACACAGTACACCAGGGGTAAGGCACCACCACCACCACCACCATTGTGCGCCCCGTGCCGCAGTACCGGCCGCGCTACTTCACGCAGGGCCAGTTCAACAACCGCGGAGACCCGGCAGCGTACGGGCTCTACGCCACCACACAGTACACCAGGGGTAAGGCACCACCACCACCACCACCATTGTGCGCCCCGTGCCGCAGTACCGGCCGCGCTACTTCACGCAGGGCCAGTTCAACAACCGCGGAGACCCGGCAGCGTACGGGCTCTACGCCACCACACAGTACACCAGGGGTAAGGCACCACCACCACCACCACCATTGTGCGCCCCGTGCCGCAGTACCGGCCGCGCTACTTCACGCAGGGCCAGTTCAACAACCGCGGAGACCCGGCAGCGTACGGGCTCTACGCCACCACACAGTACACCAGGGGTAAGGCACCACCACCACCACCACCATTGTGCGCCCCGTGCCGCAGTACCGGCCGCGCTACTTCACGCAGGGCCAGTTCAACAACCGCGGAGACCCGGCAGCGTACGGGCTCTACGCCACCACACAGTACACCAGGGGTAAGGCACCACCACCACCACCACCATTGTGCGCCCCGTGCCGCAGTACCGGCCGCGCTACTTCACGCAGGGCCAGTTCAACAACCGCGGAGACCCGGCAGCGTACGGGCTCTACGCCACCACACAGTACACCAGGGGTAAGGCACCACCACACAGTACACCAGGGGTAAGGCACCATTGCGCGCCCCGTGCCGCAGTACCGGCCGCGCTACTTCACGCAGGGCCAGTTCAACAACCGCGGAGACCCGGCAGCGTACGGGCTCTACGCCACCACACAGTACACCAGGGGTAAGGCACCACCACCACCACCACCATTGTGCGCCCCGTGCCGCAGTACCGGCCGCGCTACTTCACGCAGGGCCAGTTCAACAACCGCGGAGACCCGGCAGCGTACGGGCTCTACTCCACCACACAGTACACCAGGGGTAAGGCACCACCACCACCACCACCATTGTGAATGTTTCGTATGGTGAATATATACATCCCTCTTACAGGAAACGAGACATTCCATCTTAGTCCTCAGAGGTGACAATGCATCTGCATTTGAGTGCTTAGTCCAGGATAGATTTAGATGTCTATGAGCCACCCATTCTGATTGGTCACCCTTATTATATAAAGAAAAACTACACTCCTACACACTACCACAAGTCCACTGAGCATAAGCCTTCCCCGAGGAATGCGAGAAAGTACGGTCTCGAGCTCTTGTAATAATTCTCGGCAGCCAGTCTCAACGGAGACTAACCATCTGTACAGGAGAAGATTACAATACCGGAGTGTGTGCGCGAACACGTGCACTCTCTATTACCTCACTCTCATTGTCCGATGGGACGGTAAGCAGACACGAGCGGAGAGAGATAGCCACAGAAATAACGGCTTTACGTAATTTCCGAGGCACAGGGGTGAAACACCGCCAATTTTATGACTACGGGCTGCTACTAATAATTTATTGACAGAAAACCCATCAACTGATTTTTTACCTACCTGGGATTCAAACCCTCATGTTCATTTACGACCACTAGACCAACATGTCAGTCAACCAGTATCATTATACGTGGTAGAGCGCCCCTGCTGCTATATATAATGGCTTTAGCTCGAATGGGTTGGTTTTAAATATAGAACCATGCTCTCTTAATATACCAGCGTAAAATAGTAGCCTAATTGAACTGGGTGCGTGTTTTTCAACCTGATTCTATTGAAAATTAAACCTATTCTACACTAACACAAAGTCACTGTTTAACATAGGTGTCATGGGCATGTCTATGTCTAGATCCATGTTCATGGCCTACGGCATCCGTTTTCCATAGATGACTATGGAAAACGGATGATATGCTAGTCTGTCACCCTTATTCTTTATAAAAATAGACCTCCCCCTTCACACCCTTTTATGATATTCATTCTTTAAATTTGCAGTTCGTCAAAACTACAATCCCTATTTGTACAATGAGAGCATTCAGTATGAGTACACGGACGGTCGAAATGGGCCAGTTGATGTGAGGCACCTGCCTGGGCAGCCAAACCAGATTGACCAGCCAGATTGGTGGTACGACCCACAAAAGGTCTACACAAGACTCTTTAATTTCGTAAGTATAAAATATTAATCTGAAATGTACATTCGCTTACTTTTTAATGTCAACCAGTACTCTCTAATTTTATTATGTTAAACATCAAACTAATAGACAGAACCCTATCGAGTACCAACCTGAAGCTAAAATTTGTGTGAGTAGACTTATGGCCAAATACAAACGAAAAACGATAAACGCTACTCAATTATAAGACGCTGTTAAATCTCGTGCTGTCTCTATCACTAAGTCAAAGTGACTGCGGCACCACGAGACTTAACGACATCTAAAAATTGAGTAGCGTTTGAATATTTGGCCCCTAGTGTCATATAATAATTAAATTTCGCTATAATTTAGTTGTATAGTTTAATATTCTACTTGGAACCTGAACTGTGTCCAAGAAGACACAATCTTATTTTTTCTATCCATATTCCATGCTTACTATGTATGTGATGTCGCATAGATAAACTAAGAGCGATGTGCATGGTTTTATGTGCATATTTCTATATAACTACATAATAATGCTTATCTGTGCAGTCAAGCTTCTAGCTAATTAATGTATAATAACTTAAAACTTGTGTAATTTGATAGTATATTTTTCATTTCATAGGATGAAAAGTTCCCATTCTGGATGCCAAAACCAGACCCTGTTCAGATTGCAAACCAATACCAGGATAACCCCAACTACAACACATATACAACTTCCACATACAACAACTACTACAACGATCCTTATTATAGCCGGTTGCCTTATTTAAGATATGTAAGTATGCTTTTTTTTTTTGTAATAAACAGTGTTTATCATTTAATTCTTACAAATAAAATAAATAATGTTGGGCGCCACCATTAATGCCTGGTACATATATTGCCCTCGCTCTAGAAATTTCTTCAATATCTAGAAGGCGTTTAGACGACACGTAAACAAACACATATACTTCGAACAAATTTTTAAAATTCACTTTGTTTTCTTTTAACAGTTCAACGGCACATATGACTTCAAATTTCCCATGTCGGAGCTGGCGCAACTTGTACCGAGTCTAGACGGAGTTGAAGTGATTATCACCGCGTCTGTGGGAGATCCGTTTCTGGACGAAGTGATAGAAGGTTATAGCATAGCAAGAATTTTTAACTCTTCATTGGCTGTCACGTTCCTGGGCGGATCGGTACAAGTGTTTAAGCCTGCAATGCCCTTCGATATTTATGTAAGTATTGCATCCGGATATTTTCGGAAATGCTCTTTATCTAACCTGCATATTTTAGGTTTCCATGGGTCATATCTAAAATTTCAATATATATTTCGTCACAATCCTTATAAATTACCAACTTAAGAGCTAGTATACATTTTTCTATATTAATATTTTAGTTATTTGTATCTATCATCACCCTATTTCGTCCCGAAGGTGTTGAAAGAAGCGACTATGAGTTATTGTAAAAATATAGCTTCCGTTACATGGCGTTATAACCACCTTGTTACGGTAGACGTAAAATACATTTTTATAAAATAAGATATATAAAATATGTTTTTATAATATAGGATATATAATATATATATAAAAATGTCTGAGTTGTAACGGTGACAAAGTAGCACACAGTCCACCTGATGATTGCTACATCTATCCTTGATAACGGATCAAAATGTAAATGCGTTGTCACCCGTGAGGACTGAGATGGAATGCCTCCTTTCCAGTAAAACGGGTCTCCGGTTCTCTACACTCACCATACGAAACAGCAGCGTTATGCTCCTATTTTACGCTGGTATTCCGTGAGATCGTGGTCATTCCCCGGTCGAGCGGACCCATTCGTGCTACAACTATCTACTAATATAGCTGCAGCATGGCCCTAATACGATTAGACATTTTCACAATATTTTCCTTCATGCCGAGCTCGAGGTAAATTAGCAGCAAAAAATATAAGTAAAATTTCATTGGTGCCGGTGGGGATCGTACCGCGTACCAATCGCGATTGAACAATCGTGTTGAAACTATTATCTGATCTGTGTCTGTGGTAGAGTCATGCTACAGTATGAATGTATCGGCTCTACCGGGAAAGGACCACGCTCGTACGGAATACTAATGAGAAATACTGTGTTTCGTTTAGTGAGTGATCAAAACCGGACATCCTTTTTACTGCTAACGAAGCATTTCATATTGAAAATCATCGTCATAAAAGCTTGGCAACCCTGTAGGTGTGTCTATGGGGTAACATGCTTCACTGCACGTCACTGTGTCACGGTGGGTATGATTGTATGATGTGGCGGGCGTGTGGACAGATGGCGGTGTCGTACCACGACGGGTCGCCGCTGCCGCGCTGGCAGGCGGCGGGCGTGTCGCTGGCGGTGGAGCTGCAGGTGGAGGGCCGCGGCGCCGCCATCGAGCCGCAGCGACCGTCGCTCGCGCCCGGACACGAAGCCGTCTGGCACCTGCGCCTCGACCTCTACAAGCTGCTCAGTCAGTACACCATGTTATATATAACATGTCGCATCACATAACATCATGCCGCGTGACATCACTACATCACATCATGTTGCTTGGAATCACATCACATTATCTCGCGTTGCATCACATCACATCATGTCGCATCACATCACATCATGTCGCGTCGCATCACATTACATCACATTATATCGCTTCGCATCACATCACATTATGTCCCATCTAATCACATCACATCATGTGGCCATGCATCATATCATATCATGTCGCGTCGCATCATATCACATCATATCGCGTTGCATCAAATCACATCATATCGCGTTGTATCACATCACATGATATGGCGTTGCATCACGTTACATCATATCACATCATGGCGCGTCGCATCACTATACATCTCATCACATCACATTGTATAACGAGATATCATATAGTATCATATTTCACCACATTGTATCACATCGAATCATTATCATATTACATTCCATCTTGGCTTCCGCATACTTTCACACTTCGGCTTGGTAACGTAGTGAAAAAGCATTTAACTTAATGTTATTTCATCGCTCCAGCGAAACGACATTTTTGCGGCAACTAATGAACTAAAATAATTCGACAGGTTCGGACTTGTTTAGCCGGTGAACCAGTGAGCACGGACGCATGGTGGGAGGTTCTACACGCCCGATAAAAAATAGAATAAAATGGATCGACTCGATTTAATTACTTACTAATCTACTCGACTAAATTTTTGGTGTTCTCGAACTCTCATCGAAACCCGAATCTAACAATATTTTTACATAATAATAATAATCTGCGGACCAAATTTTAGTCACGGTAGCCAGTGTCGACGTATACTATACTCTATTCCACTTACGAAGTCCCATTTGACAGATGTCAATAATCAAGTACTAGTAAAGTACCGTTATAGTCGATACTTGACGATATTGATCTTCGATTACTATAACGAACAAATTAAAATCGTATTGACAGAAAAAGGATTAGCATCAAATTGAAATTTATAAAACTGTTTTTTAATTTTAATTAGATAATATTACATAATATTTTTATCAAGATGGAACATATTCATCATCACTAGCCGAAATCGATATTTCATGGTCGGCATCGTCGTCATCACCCTCATCATCGTCTGTAGAATCCCCTGTATTTATTATAATTTGGTTATCTATGACGGCATCGATATGTATGTCTCTGTCCCAATCAACGAAAATCAAATTTTTTGTTCGTAAAACCACACTTTCCCAATTCGCGACAGTAACACTATCACAAGCTTCTTGCAACAATGACAGCATTTTGTTCGCAGTAAACGGTGGGCTGGTATTTTTACGAGCCGCATAACCTAAACTAAAGGTTTGCCTGTTAATATAACAACAGATAAAATGTTAAAATAGGTAAAAATAAATTATAAAAAAGATTTGTTTAAATACTTGCCTTTAATTTGCGCCCAGATCAATTCTATGGCATTGTATTGACAATGGTAGGGGGGAAGGCGCATTACATTGTGTCCGGCTTCCTTAGCCATTTCGTCCAATACGTATTTTAGTCTAGCTGGCTTATTTATAGCAACCAAATGCAGCAACTCAACTTTTAACATGGACATGTCAGCAAAACAATATTATTGTCATTCAGCCGTTTCACAATATCGGCTTTTTTCTCTGCTAGAAGTTGGAGGCTTACTTATTTGTACTGAATGATACGGTGCATTATCCATAATAATCGTCGATGGCTCATTCAAGTTGGTCAATAAGGTACAAAACCATTCCTTAAATTTAACAAAATTCATCTCTTCGTGGTATTCCACAGTTTTCTTAGATTTAAACGCCAAGAGGCAGTTCGGAACAAATCCCTTCATGGAACCCGCATGACAAATAATTAAGCGTTCGCCTTTGCCACTAGGTACTTTTGTGGAGGAGTGAGGAGTGTCGTCTGTCCATATCTTGCCAACTGTATGATTAGCGTTTAGCCAAGTCTCATCTAGAAATATAACATTATTCCAAACGGCAATGGACTTTGCTGTTCTTAGAAAATTAAATCTGGCTAAAGCTATATCTCTACGTTCCATCAAAATCCGCCTTTTATCACATTTTTTATAAGAAAAGCCAACATTTTTTAAAACCCTCCAGAAAGAAGTTCTACTGCCGTGAAACAGTCCAGATTCTCGTAAAGTATTTGACAATTTATCGAGAGTCGCCAATTCGTTCCTACTATAGTAGCCATAGATATGGTTTCTAATGGCGTCGTTATCAAAATTGTCGATATGTGTAACTATCGATCTTCTAACTTTTTTCTTAAGTGGCGATTTTAATTTGTTATCTTCCATTAAATCTTTACCATGTTTTTCCTTACTTATTTGGGAAACAGTTTTTCGACTAATACCAAGAGCTGCACTTACTCGGTTAGTCACTTGTGAAAGTGGCAACAATGGACCATCATACTGATACTCTCTTTCAAAGTAATCTTGTAGGCGTACTACAAACTCTCGCGCTTGACTGCGCATCACTGTTCTTTTAGTGGTCTCAGTTTCGGCCATAGTGTTTATAAATACAAAAAAAAACCAAATCAAATAACAGTCAAAACTTAATAACAACGAAAGAATTATCAAACAGTTATAACTACAATAACAAGAACGAAATAAAAACACAACACAAAATCAACTAAACTGAACACGCGTATCGTATACAAGGCTTCTGCACTCGTACTGAAGAGACAAACAAAACGGCGGTCGTAATCACGAGGTGGACGCACTGTTGACAGATTTTCACTCGCGAAAAGAATCTGTTTATAATCGATTTTATACGATTCTTTTAATCACGTCACTATGTAAAAAAGTAAAAATAAAACTATAGAACGTAAACGCAAAACGGCAGTAAAATATTATCTTTTAAAGTTTTAATTATTTTGAGCACGATGTCTAAAAACAATATGTTAATTGTGTGTGTGAATTAATTGTATAATGATTTAGATTGATTTTGTATTTTTAAATGACGATTTACGACCATGAACAAAAATGATTATTGTTTCAAATTATGAGAAACGTGAAGAGTTACGTTCTAAGAAGTGTCAAAAGGGACTTCGTAATTGGAATAGAGTAGAGCCATCTGTGCAAGATAAGGTTTTAGTGTACAAGTACACCTCCAATAAGATAGGCGAGAAATCAGGTGCAGGTACCAACGCCTTTAAATGTTTTCCGAGGGATGGGGGTGATACACGGTCAAATTCCTGACTTTGGGTTGGTAATTGGAATTTCTTGACATAAAAACCCTAAAATTGATTTGAGTTCGACTCAGGATTTGAACCTCAACATCAGTAGTCGCGCTTACGATTACTAGACCACCGAGGCAGTCAAACACGCTCAAAACAAGTGTTTGGTGTTTGTGTGGCCTACAAATAATTTTTCTTGGATCTGAATATTTATCCATGTGAAATTTTTGTATGCAAAATGCCTTCATAATATCTATACAAATAAATAAAATTGAAGTGTCTGTTTGTAATGTTAAAATAACCGCCTTTAACTAAATGCATATGAGAAAGTATATACGGTAACCAAAACAAAAAAAAAATATTAAAATTTTTCTCCGTCTGTTTGTTACGGCTAGTCTCCAAAACGGTTGGACCAATTTTGACGGGACTTTCACTGGCAGATAGCTCATCTTATTAGGAGTAACTTAGGATACTTTCATTTTAGAAAAAGAATTAGGTTTCTGCGCAAAAAAAATAAAATCCATAAAATCGTAGTAAATTCCACGCGGGTGAAATCGCGCTGAACAGCTAGTATACAAATAAACGGCCCTCAGTCCCCGGCGGCCCACTATTTCTGGCAACGGTGGCGACCATGGTAACGGTGGGGCAGGGGGTGCCAAGGATCTCCTGTGAATGTTCGGTTGCCACCTACGACGACTTGACCTGGCAACATGTAACGCACGCACCCTGAGGACTGACGAGAAGATCCTGGAGCTGGAAGAAGAGATAGACAAGTTGCGCTGTCCGACGAGAGGCGTAGGACATGGTAATCTTCGAATCCGGCGACTTGATCTATCATCGGGGAACATCTGTCCCGAGGAGGTGTCGGATTTATCGTCCACAAGTCTCTCGTTAACAACGTTGTAAAGATTGGGAGTGTGTCGACGAGGGTTGCGTACACCTTATACTCAGAATCACCAAATGGTATTCACTGAAGGTCATACAGACTTACGCACCAACCTCGGCATATCCCGATGAGGAGATGGATGAAATGTATGAGGATATCTCTACAGTCGTGCATTCCTCCAAAACCCACTATATAATGTTAATGGGAGACTTCAACGCAAAACTAAGCAGAAGAGAGAATGGTGAGCTGAAAGTAGGAAAATTTGGAATAGGGCAACGGAACCCAAGGCGCCAGCAGCTTGCCGACTTTATGGAGAAGGAGGGACTCTTTATGATGAAATCTTTCTTCCAAATGCGGCCCCACAGAATGTGGACCTGGTCGAGCCCCGACGGTATGACAAAAAATTTTGAAATTTTAATCTACCCATATGTTTACAATTTACTAAAATTTCAAATTACTGATCGTCAACATGGTTTCCTTAGAAATAGGTCAACCACTACTAATTTAATTGCCTTCACCAATTATATTATCCAGCATGTTGATCAGGGTTCTCAGGTCGATGCTATCTATACTGATTTTAGCAAGGCATTGATAAAGTTGATCATGAGATACTTTTGACGAAATTAAGTAGTTGTGGTATTGGCGCCCCTATTTTGGTTTGGTTTAGATCTTACTTAACTCTTCGCGAGTGTTATGTAGTTGTTAATGGGAAACAGTCTGAACCGTTTAAGGTAACCTCGGGTGTTCCTCAAGGGTCACATTTAGGGCCCCTTTTGTTTCTAATTTTGATCAACTCAGTGACAGAATGTTTTTTGAATACAGAGGTTTACCTGTTTGCTGACGATTTGAAATTCGTTAGACCTGTTAGATCGTCAGAAGACTCCCAGCTTATTCAAGCCGATCTTGATAGATTGATCGAGTGGTGTACTCAAAACAGTATGCTTCTGAATGCTAAAAAGTGTCATCATATGTCGTTCACTCGCAAACATACTCCTATCCAAACTTCAAGCCGATCTTGATAGATTGATCGAGTGGTGTACTCAAAACAGTATGCTTCTGAATGCTAAAAAGTGTCATCATATGTCGTTCACTCGCAAACATACTCCTATCCAAACTACATACAAAATTGGCAACACAGTACTCAATCAAGTAGAGTGTATATTTGGGCCTATTACCTGACCTGGGCGTATTATTGGATAGTAAACTATCTTTCGTACCACATATAAACAGTATTATAACGAAGGCGTCCAAAATGTGCGGATTTTTATGTAGAAACACCAGACAGTTCAGACATACTCAAACTTTACTACTACTCTTTCACAGCTTAGTTCGAAGCAACCTTGAATATTGTTCTCAAGTTTGGTCACCTTACTATGAGGTTCATAAGAGTGGAATTGAACGAGTACAGCGGAGGTTTCTTAGTATGCTAGCATTGAAATTTAACCGACATCGCTACTTAACTTCATATGATGAACGGCTAAAACATCTCCGTATATCTCTTCCTTATATAACAGGCGGAAACTTTTGGATTTGAGCTTCCTCTATAAACTGTGTAATAATGGCATCGACTGTGCTCAATTACTGGAAATGGTTAACATTAATGCTCCAAGCAAATTACGTTTATGGTCCCACCTCATAGGACTTAACCTCGGTCTTAATTCAGCATTATGCAGAATGTTTAGACTGCATAATGATATATCTAGGCCTTCTGATTTAGATATTTTCAATGACAATTTAAATAATTTCAGAAGAAAAATGTTACTTTATTTAGAATCTTAATGATGAATGTAAACCCTTTTTAATTTATCATACATACGCAATTTTGCTACTGTAATATTAAATTTTATGATAATTAACTTTTCGCAACATTACTCTGTGTAAGCTGTGGTTGCCTAAAACTGGGTGAGCATATTGCATGTTTCTCTCAATGCTTGGATCTTGTTTTTAGTACTTGTGTATCATCTGTCGGTGACCCTTATAAATAAAATAAAAAAAAAAAAATGAGGTTGACTTCACTATGATGACCAGAAGACAACTGTATAGTGATGTCTCCGTGATCGCGAGGGTGAAAACTGGCAGCGATCACCGAATGGTGAGAGGCACACTGAACCTACACGTTAAGTTGGAGAGGTCACGTCTAATTAAGTCAACATTCCTTCCCCCTCGTGCTCTAATTCAAAGTCCTGAAAACTTTCAGCGGTAACGGACATAGCCCAACGGATTAGTAAGTTGAAGTGGCAATGGGTCGGCAATATAACTCGAAGAACCGACAATCAATAAGGAAGAGAGGTTCTTAAGTGGCAGCCTTGGTACCGGCAGGCGTCCCCCCCCCCCCACGACCTGGTAAGACACGTAGGAAGTCATTGTTGCAGGTGGCTCGGGACCGTGCTTTGTAGCATTTCTTGGGGGTGGCCTATGTTCATCAGTGGACTTGTGAGGGGTTGTAATGATGATGATGACACTGCTGGACACAGACCTTTCTAAGAATATGCCAGCAGGCATGTATCAAATATGTTATGCAGTTAAATAAATAATACATGTCTGTATTATTTATTTAACTGCTATCAATCATATTTGGACCGTGTTGTGCGGAAACGATCCAACACACAAATTGGCCAAAATAATGATATTATAGCTTTTTTTGTTTCCAACCATGAAAGACTTCTAAAAAATAAGAAGTAATCCCAAAAACTACATAAAATTTCTTTAAAATGACATACAAAACAAAAAACAGTCTGCATAATTTTTAAACATTGTTCGCAGAGCTGGAGAATGATCCTAACTATCGCGAAGTTCTGAACGGCATAACGGGCGTGCGCGTGACGGCGCAGCTCGCAGATGCGGTGGGCGGGCGCGCGGCGGCCGACGTGCACTTCGTGCCGCACTACAGCCCCAACAACCACCACTTGCGAGTTTCCACCAGCACCACCGACGCACGGGTACCAACCACACACACACACACGTGCACTTCGTGCCGCACTACAGCCCCAACAACCACCACTTGCGAGTTTCCACCAGCACCACCGACGCACGGGTACCAACCACACACACACACACGTGCACTTCGTGCCGCACTACAGCCCCAACAACCACCACTTGCGAGTTTCCACCAGCACCACCGACGCACGGGTACCAACCACACACACACACACGTGCACTTCGTGCCGCACTACAGCCCCAACAACCACCACTTGCGAGTTTCCACCAGCACCACCGACGCACGGGTACCAACCACACACACACACACGTGCACTTCGTGCCGCACTACAGCCCCAACAACCACCACTTGCGAGTTTCCACCAGCACCACCGACGCACGGGTACCAACCACACACACACACACGTGCACTTCGTGCCGCACTACAGCCCCAACAACCACCACTTGCGAGTTTCCACCAGCACCACCGACGCACGGGTACCAACCACACACACACACGTGCACTTCGTGCCGCACTACAGCCCCAACAACCACCACTTGCGATTTTCCACCAGCACCACCGACGCACGGGTACCAACCACACACACACACACACGTGCACTTCGTGCCGCACTACAGCCCCAACAACCACCACTTGCGAGTTTCCACCAGCACCACCGACGCACGGGTACCAACCACACACACGCGTGCACTTCGTGCCGCACTACAGCCCCAACAACCACCACTTGCGAGTTTCCACCAGCACCACCGACGCACGGGTACCAACCACACACACACACACGTGCACTTCGTGCCGCACTACAGCCCCAACAACCACCACTTGCGAGTTTCCACCAGCACCACCGACGCACGGGTACCAACCACACACACACGCGTGCACTTCGTGCCGCACTACAGCACCAACAACCACCACCTGCGAGTTTCCACCAGCACCACCGACGCACGGGTACCAACCACGCACACACACACACGTGCACTTCGTGCCGCACTACAGCCCCAACAACCACCACTTGCTAGTTTCCACCAGCACCACCGACGCACGGGTACCAACCACACACACACACACGTGCACTTCGTGCCGCACTACAGCCCCAACAACCACCACTTGCGAGTTTCCACCAGCACCACCGACGCACGGGTACCAACCACACACACACACACGTGCACTTCGTGCCGCACTACAGCCCCAACAACCACCACTTGCGAGTTTCCACCAGCACCACCGACGCACGGGTACCAACCACACACACACGCGTGCACTTCGTGCCGCACTACAGCACCAACAACCACCACCTGCGAGTTTCCACCAGCACCACCGACGCACGGGTACCAACCACGCACACACACACACGTACACTTCGTGCCGCACTACAGCCCCAACAACCACCACCTGCGAGTTTCCACCAGCACCACCGACGCACGGGTACCAACCACACACACACACGTGCACTTTGTGGCTCACTACAGCCCCAACAACCACCACTTGCGATTTTCCACCAGCACCACCGACGCACGGGTACCAACCACACACACACACACACGTGCACTTCGTGCCGCACTACAGCCCCAACAACCACCACCTGCGAGTTTCCACCAGCACCACCGACGCACGGGTACCAACCACACACACACACGTGCACTTCGTGCCGCACTACAGCCCCAACAACCACCACCTGCGAGTTTCCACCAGCACCACCGACGCACGGGTACCAACCACACACACACACACGTGCACTTCGTGCCGCACTACAGCCCCAACAATCACCACCTGCGAGTTTCCACCAGCACTACCGACGCACGGGTACCAACCACACACACACACACACGTGCACTTCGTGCCGCACTACAGCCCCAACAATATGTCAATTTCTTTTTTTCTTTTCCCCATACCAGGATTTTCTCCTGTATCGTGTAGGCAGTTTACAAACACAAATTGTACAAGGACAAACATCCAGACCCGGAACAATTATTTATAGTCCACACAAATACTTGTACCGTGCGGTATTCGAACCTGCGGCCCCCAGCGTAGCAACTCATTGCTAAGCCACTGCGCCACGGAGCGGTCAAACTTCGAAACCAGTCTACTACAGTTTTATCTATGATTTTAATTTGCCATTTCCATAAATTTAAAACAGAATATTTATTTTTAATGATTTGTCACTATGACTTTTGCTAAATTGCATTTTAATTTATTGACGCTTCCTTATATTTTGTACTGACAGGTCGGCGAATACATTATATTCCACGTGCAGAGTAATTTCCACATGGAGTCATTCAACTATATTGTGATGTCAAAGGGCATCATTCTGTCCAGTGGTCAAGAGCTAATGCAGGTATATTTTTGATATTGTTATCTATAACTGTCATAATCCATGCCTTTATTTATTTGTGCATAATTTCTATGGACATATTAAAATATAAAATTGTATAAAAAATCTTTAAAATACTATAATTTACAACACGGAAAAATTCCAATTGCCCATATTAAAATAACGTAAACATTGACAATCGCAATTGAATAGTTTTGAGGAAGTTTTGATATTCAAATTGTTATCTTATACACATTTTTAAAATAAGAATAACAATTTGATTTAACTTAAAATAGAAATCAGCTTTGAAATGGAAATTAGAAAGTAGCAAATTTAAATTTTAAGTCGTAATAATTTGATAGTGATGGTGTCAAATACCCAATGTTTTCAATTTGTTCAAATTAAAGCGACAATCATTATGAACGTTACTTATCCATCTGATGCTAAATGGCAATTGCAGCGAAATTCAAACAAAGAAGATGCATTGTCATCTCTGAGGACTAAGAATATTTCAAGGTTTGGTATTATACTATTATTACTATTTGGCGAAATAGAAATAGGTAACAAGGTAGTACGTACCGAGACATAATTCTAGGCAGGAAAGGAGTTTTATTACGTTGTAGATTTTTTGTATATGGAAAAAAATTTGCTTGTACATGGTAGAGCCTATATTATGTTATAGCACAAATGATTCGGTACTACAGGGGTAGGACCATGCTCTCTCAGAATACTGTCGTAAAATAGCAGCTTGATGCTGCCGTTTTGTATGGTGGGTGTAGAGAAGCAACTACTTTTACAGAAAATAAGGCAATTCATTTTAGTCCTCAGGGGTTACAACGTATCTATATTTAGATTCTTGATCGGGGGTAGATATTTGGGGCACAGCATCTATTTATCATCAGGTTGACTCTAGAGTCGTATTTCACTTTATTCTATAAAAAAAAACGTTCTCACAGAATATCAACATAAAGTAATTGTTTCATATGGTGAGAACTGGAGATGCTTTTTACTGGTAATTAGGTATTTTATGTTAGTTCTCAGGGGAAGAATTTATCTGTATTTTGGATTTTAATCGAGGATAAATATTATGATGATGATGGAGGATGGAGGAGATGTCTATGGAGCACAGCATCCTCTTATAATTGGGTGGAATGTGTGCTCGTTTGTCATCTTTATGTCTAAGTATTCAAACGTTATTAATTTAAGATGTCGTTAAGTTAGTCACTTTGACTTAAGGTGATAGAGACAGCACGAGACTTAACGGCATCTTAAAACTCAGTAGCGTTTTAGTGTTTGATCGTTGGTGTACAAAAAATATATGAGGCAATAATAGAATAATAGAGTAATGTACTTGCGGTTGTGTGCAGGAGGGCGTGCGCACGTTCGCGGTGGTGCTGGCGGCGGAGATGGCGCCCGTGTGCACGCTGCTGGTGTGGGCCGCGCAGCGCCGCGGCCGCGTGCTGGCCGACTCGCTCACCTTCCCCGTCAACGGCATCTCGCGCAACAACGTACGCCCGCCGCACGCCCGCCGCACGCCCGCCGCACGCCCGCCGCACGCCCGCCGCACTGCCCCCACACACCACTGCACTCACGGCACTCACTCTCCACCGATCAACATCTACGCGAGCCACGAGTGTATGCGCGAACACAAGTGCACTCTCTATTACCTAACTCTCATAACCCGGTGGGATTGTTATCCGACACAAACGGAGAGAGATAGGCGCAAAACTAACGGCTTTACGTACTTTGCGAGGCACGGGGGTGAAACAACGCCGACATCCTGACTTCCAGCTACAACTAAAAATTTCCTAACACAAAAATTCAATAAACAAGTATTAATTTGAATCCGAGACCTCACAATCACCAATCGCGTTTAATCGCAACCACTAGACCCAAAAGCAGTCATCATCAATCATCATCACATTACTGTTGCAGCCTATTGAAATTCACCGCTGAACCTCTCCCATAGATTGCCGCATAGAGAAGAAATTTGCCATAGTTACCACGCTTGGCAAACGAGCCGACAACCACATTTAATAAAAAATTCATATTATTAACTAAAGTGCCTTTATAATTACAACTACACATTAACACAAAATATACTCGTATAAAACTAAAAAGAGCTCCTATCGAGCGGATGTACGCGAGGTAACTTTTTAAAAACTAAACTAAAAAGCGTTAAAACTAAGCTTAAATTAAATGAACCAAACGACCGCGACACGACTACGAAACGATCACGACACGACCATGACGCCTACCTCAAACACTGCACATATGTTGTCATGAAACGCTAAGGACGTTACTTAGAGGCCGTGATTGACAGTTTGGCATTGTAAGAATCAAAATATTCATCATAATAATCGTCCAGTGGGTTTATCGTCCAGTGGGTGTAGTTAGAAGCGACAGTGAGAAACCAGGAGATGAGTAGCAGCGTCTCCCTAATAACGCTAAAAAACTACAATTGCCAATCGTGTCGACTATGGCAAATATGACCCATATGAAGCAATCTTATCTGTTCCGCAACCTATGTTAACCTATATTGTGTACTAGAAAAGACGCCGACGCTTGGTTGCTTGCAACACGCGTAAGAACCCGCGGGTTCTAATTTACTTATTAACTGGTATTCTGCGCCTCTTTACACGCAGCCCGCACAGTCGCACAGATTTTATTCGCGGTGTATGTTCTAGTATGTATTATTTCAATGCTTGATGTTTTGTAATTTATTATAAGATATGTGAGGATAATAATCTGGCCTATAAAACCAAAAGTAGGAGGCGGATATAGACAAAAACACGAAGTCGTATTGTATAACTAATACAAACGAGCTTTGGCAACTTAAAAAAAACAGTTAATCGACCATATTTATTAGGCTGTCAACTGTCAAAATGGCGTCGATAAAGCAGCGCCTTTTTGTCCTTTTATTATTTGATTGACTGATTATTGTATCACAGTGCCATTTATGCAAACCAGGCTGTAGTTTATTATATATATATTTATAAGAAGTGACCATATTAACCGGATAATACATAATATTAGGGTATCGTACGCTAGTTGTAACATATATGGGTGTGCACAGTTCACGGTGTTGATCAACAACCGCAAGCACCGCAGCGGCGAGCGTGTGGAGGTGGCGATCTACGGCGAGCCCGGCGCCTACGTGGGCCTGTCCGCCATCGACGACGCCTTCTACACCATGCAGGCCGGCAACGAGCTCACCTACGCCAAGGTACTCTACCGTACACGTTTTTATAAGTTTAGAATCCAAATTGACATATAATAGAGGCGTAAGAGAATCACTTACAACCCACCACCCCTTTTTGTTCTATTTTGTACGGAAGGTATAGTAAAATAGAAATAGAAACTTTTTTATTCAATATAGATTATAAATAGTACTTATTAAAACTCACTCTTATGTTCAATTTACCAGTGGTCCGGAAAATACCTCTGTCTAAGGAAGAACTAGCAATAAACTCAGCGAGACATTTTTTTGAAAAAAGCATTAATATGTTACACAATCAACAACACAAAAATTAGAAATAGCTTGGTAGCGATCACCTCATTCGAAGGGGTTACAAAGTAAGAGACGACTATGAAAAATACCAGAAAAATCTAATAGCTTCCAATAAATGGTGTTACAACCGTCTCGTTTATGTAAGACATAAAATACTAACATCGATTATTAATCTATCTGCCATGTGTGACGATTAAGGTAAATACTTCTATGGGAGACAGTCATGTTGAGCAGTGCATTCTTACAGGCTGGTAAAGAAGAGGAGTGCTAAATGAACAAAAAATCCAGCGGATGAAAAATGGCTCCTGCGGCATATCAATACTAAAATTTCTTCGACGGAGTTGATAAATATTATGAAAACGTCCCGCAATAGCGACTGTTTCTTAAGTATCACAATCTGTATTCTGGGTGTCGCAAAAATCTACTGTTCATAACGTTGTCTTTGATGACAGGTGATTTCGAAAATGTCGCACTTCGACGAAGCAACTAACGGCACGTTTGCGTACACGTTCCGCTCCCACTTCGGCGACCCGGATGAACTCGTCTACTTCCCCTCGTCCAGCTTCGGCATTGACGCCAACAGGACCTTTGAGTGAGTATTGAAAATTTTATCACTTGGGAAATTATAAAAGTGACAAAGTAGAAAGCAGCTAAACATTTGGCTGCGGTGCTGGTCTGCAATTAAAATTTCCGTGTGTGGGTTTCTGTCAGTGTAAAATTTATGTATGTAAACCTCTTTCATAGTTCAGGATTAATGTAAAACATATTTTTTAATTAAAAATATCAAATCATGAGACACGGAATGATATTCCCCTCCCATACGCAACAAGCGTGTGCGTTTCGTGCGTTGTCTGTCTAGGTTTTTACATTATAGATGTAACAAGAACGGGTCGGCTCGACCGGGTTTTGACCAAGCTCTCACAGAATACTAGTGTAAAAAAGGCAGCTTAATGTTGCTGTGTTTTATATGGTGAGTGTATATTTTAGTCCTCAGGGGTGACAATGCTTCTGCGTTTTGAATCGTTATCGAGGATAGATGCAGATGTCTTTAGGCCACAGTATTCTATGAGGTGGACTATGTGCTTGCTTGTCATCCTTATTCTATTAAAAAAGAGAGTATCTTTTTCTTTCGCATAGGGATTGGTAAGTAAAAAAATTATATCGATATTTATCGTATCGATAATTATCGCGTGATAAATATCGTTATATCGATATATCCTCATGTTTTACGTGACATTACGATGAGGATCAAAATAATTGCTTTTTTTACTGAATGCTTTGTCTATTGAATTATAAAATAAATAATAACATTTGAAAATATATCGAAATTGATATGAATTCGATACCTTAAAAAATATCAAAATTCGATATATCTCGATTATAAATATCAACGATAAATATTGATAATTTTGTAAGAAGATCGATATTTCGATTTATCGACACTTTTACGCAAGCCTACTCTCGCAGGCTAAATCCTATACATGTATATATTTGTCTCTTTTTAGTGTCACTATTTCGTTTCCTTAGAGTAATTACACATAGAGTGATAGTGACATTCAAAATTCCGTTCAAAGTTGAAGCAACAACAAAATAAATGTGTGCATAATCGGCCTGTAATTACGTTTGCCCACACGCAACAAGCAAATGAGTAATGTTTGCAAGTTAATGGCATTTTCCTCAAAAAGTGGGGAAAATGTAATAGTAGACATCGTCATAGAATTAATATTTAGGTTGTGTTTATAATTATTTATTAACTATTTGCAAAGAGAAAAATGTAACATCATTTATTTTTGTTAACTTATGTAATATTTAAATTATTTATATACGTAATATCTTGTGTTATATTCACAAATCTATTATGTAATTATATTGTTCGGTTAGAAGAGGTATATTTATATAAATATCTGTTATTTATCTTCCATTAAATCTTATATTATTATTTGTAAATATTAATTTTTATATAATACTCAATGGCCTTATTCTATGATATATAGAGAAGTGGAACAAAGGGAGGAGGCAAATGCCTATGTTTATTTCTTCCAGTTTGTCCAATCCAGTTCCACTTACACTTAACAAATGGATAGTTGTCAGATAATCATTTTAGCTGTCAGATATTTTTTCATTAGTTATTTTCTTACTAACTGTGGCTGTGGCCCGCGGCTTCACCCGCATATTAAAGCATCACTGATCTCGATTCTTGCCATTCTAAGAATCTACGTGATATACTTAATTTAAATCGGTTTCAACGTATAAAGGATTCAACATACAACTTTCACAGAATGGATTTAATATTAGAAGGAATCACGAGACTTAAGAGTGCGGTCAGTTTCAAGTGAATATTATTATTACTTTATTGGATATTATAAGAAAAGAATAAAGATATAAAATATTCAAATAAAACATTAAATTAAAAATATTTATTAAATAATATAAAATAAAATTACCTATTATATATTAATGACCCTGTAATTGCAACTGTTTTCTAAACAACTGCCGCTTTGCTGACGCTATCCTCAAAATGTTATCTTTTTTAGATTTGTAAAAGAGTCAAACTAAAGATGTTAAAATAAAAATTAGAATAAAAAAACAATCATAGGCTTTGCTATTTATCCTAAAACACATATCATAAAAAGGTAAAAACAACTGCACATTATCAAAACAAAACAAAATCAACACTCTTTTTGTGGCAAATGGACACCCTAATAATATTTGGCAAATAAAAATACCTATTTATATGTGAATGAGACTATTGGCAGTATGTATGTATTTTTTTCAATATGCATTTTTTATAATTATAATAATAAGAAAAAATGGGGTAAATATTTTACTATGCCTAGCAATATTTACATTATATTGGCGTCTGTCAAATTTATTATTTATTATTTTGTTGTGATGAATGTTTTTTACAAAAATATAAGATGCTAGACAGTTCTTAACTGTCAAATGAGATTTTTACATTTTATTCGTGATTATGTGATGAGTTGTGACAGCCTTTCACAGTACAGTACGTCTTTTTTTTTAAAAATTGTGCGAGCTGCTTACGCAACTACGTGGACTCGAGTACTAACGCGTTAAAAGTTGTACTTAGCCTTTAAAGATTAACTTGAAATGGCTTCAATTTGCGTGGGCCTACTGCGGTTCTAAGCCTAATACTTCTATGTTCGTTTCATTGAATTAGAAATTACAACGATTCTAAAGAAGTCTTACTTTAAAAATATGGCGATTTGTCAAAGTGATTTGATAGAAAATGAATGTTCAGGTACGCAGGGCTGGTGGTGTTCAGCGACGTGGAGATCACGCGGCGGCCCAGCAGCTGCTCGGCGGCGCAGGGGCTGGCCGAGTGCCTGGACGGCGGCTGCTACCCGCTCGACAAGCGCTGCGACGCTGTAGCCGACTGCGCCGACCGCACCGACGAGGCCGGATGTACTCCATTGTTTCATTATTTTATTTATTTTTGTACTTATTTTAAGCCAGTGCTTAACCTCAATCCCACCTGGTGTACGTACCACTAGACGGGCATTACGGTACGGTACATTGCTCACTTGGTTATAGTCAATACTCCGTAACTTCTTTAGTAGGCTGCAGACATAGGCAAATGTGATTTTTATATTTTTATAATAGAGCCCTTTTGGAGAATTTCATTATTTTATTATACTGCGTGCAAGAGAATTGTTTGCAAAGCATATAACAATTAATTCCTTGCCTACATTTCACAGGCTTGATGTAAAATATAAGAATGTCCACTACCGCGTATTATCCTGTAGGTGTCGTAAGTAGCTACAGAGGAAAACTGCATCAGGAGATGTGCAGCAACGTCTTCCTGATAAAAACTAAAAATATTAAAAACTACCGTTGCCAACACGCTTGGCTAGCGAGGCAACTGACAAATATTCAATATAAAGCAATATATGGCTCCTACATGTTCAGCAGTGGATTTTTGATAAGTTGTGACGGTTCTGATAGTAAAAAAGTGATACAATGAAGGTTCGTTAGGACTGTATAAAGTATACTATTAGGCAATCTTCATAAATTAACTAATAGGACACTTTGGTAGACCTAGGCTATAAAGATAAGGTTTTCCTTATCTTACCTTCGCCTAAAGTTAAATCTAAGATACATAGAAGCGACAGGAGTGTAATGGCAGGGTGCGGACCGAAAAGTCAAAAGATCGTTCAAATCTGCCATCTGGCTACTGCCGTGAACTTCTCCTAACACAAGCAAATTAATCTTACTAGGAGTGGTTTTAAAGGAATATTAGAAAATTTAATAACATTGCCATTTTTTATTTAACAATGTTAAACTTAAATTAAAAATTTAGAACCCCAAAATGAAAAGTGCTAATGATCTTCAAACGACTGATAAATATTTTCTTGAAACATAGCTAAGAACACTTCTCCCGCTTCCACTGAGGCGTTGACAGGCCGTGTACCGCGACACATCCCCCCTCCGATTTTTTTCTTAATAACTTTAGCAAGCATGGTTTCGTCTGAGTTAATACATGAATATCTCTAAGACTATGACTTCTTCGTTGGTTTAGTGTTTGTAAAAGGCGGCTGTTGATCATGACGCCCCGAGTTCGAATCCTGGGTTGGTGCAAGAAATATGTTATTGAGTTTTCAAGAAATGTTCAGTAGCTGCCCGGAGTCAGTAAGTTAGCGGTGTCTCACCCCCCGTGCCTCGGAAAGCACATGATGCCGTTGGTCTTGCGCTTGATATCTCTCCAGTCATGTCGGTTTATCGTCCTATCTGACTATGAGAGTGAGGGAATAGAGAGTGCTTATGTGCTTGCGTGCTTATAATCCCGTCCTGCGCTGCTGGCTAGTCTCCGTCGAGGCTGGGACCCGTGACCGAAATACGGTCTGGAAGGCATTATTATTAGATGAATATAATAGGGTGTGGTTGTTGCAGGTTCGCACGACGACGAGAAATCGCTGCGGCACTTCCGCAAGTTCCGGTTCAACCGCGTGCTGCGGCAGTACGAGAACGCGTGGCTGTGGCGCGACGTGAACATCGGGCCGCACGGCCGCTTCGTCTTCACCGAGGACGTGCCGCAGACGCCCGCGCGCTGGACCGTCTCCGCCTTCAGCATGTCGCCCAGCTACGGCCTGGGCGTGCTGCCCAAGCCTGTGCGAGTCCGTATCACGTCGATTCCTAATCACATCTCAAATGCTTGCGTGCTTGCTTGCGTTAAATAAAGAACAGCATCTTGTTGAACAATTATTATTAACCGGCCTGGTTATGATGATGAAGTCAATCAATAGGGGTGGCCTTTTGATTGGCTGAAATGATAAATGAAAATGATTGTCATTTTATTTAGAATGGAACAAGGAAGATTAAATAGAGCTCCTTAGAACTGTTATAATTAGCTATATTTCTAATACAATAAGTACGGTTGGTACAAAAAGCTGCGTGCCTGATAACATATTTAACCATTTGAAATTGTTCGTAACGAACGTACAGCAATTATATTTTAACTGCACCGGAAATACAGACTATCTGGGGGCACAGTAGTGCCCCCGCAAAGTCGAGCAAAATAGCGACACGTCCGTACCATCCCTTTCTCGAAGCAGTTCAGGCCGTGTTTAACCCCCTATAACTTCGTTGTAGATAAAACTAGAAGGCTGAATTTATATAAACACGGTATATTTCAAATTCATTCAATTTGATCCAGTAGTTTAAGAATTATAACTAGTCAAAGTTTCTTAATTTTGTCACTCACTGACTGACCGATCATCAAAACTCTAAGGCACTTCTAGCAAACATAGAAGCTTCAAATTTAGAATACAATTAGTGTTTAATGTATAAATCAAGGAAAAATTAAAATATTTTGCAATTCTCGTCCACAAAGAGAATATAATCACTACGTTTAAGAGGCGAGACTTCCATAGTACAAGTAAATGTATGAAAGTACGCCAAGCTACTCTACCAACATCAAGATATGATATTTAGTTTTGACAAACAGTGCTGATAACATTGACGAATTACAATAGTGCGGTAAATGTATATGCTCGAATAATTTTATCGACCTTTATCGATATATTGCTTATCGATATTTTTATATAATAAAGTTTAGATCTCTATACTATATTATTTATGAGAAATAAAATTTTTAACGTGGGGATTGAGTAAAAATGCCGATGAGGATAAGAAATCAGTATATTTTACACACAACAATTTGTAATTATATCTCTACAACTATTAGGTACAAAAATATGTATAGAAACACACTATTATACTAGTAATTAATTAAGAAAAAAATAAATGACGAGTCCGTAGCGCAGTGGCTAAGCGTTTGGCTGCGGCACTGCAGGACCAAGGCTTCGTTTCCGAACTGAACAAGTATTGCTATACTGTAAAATAAAGAGTCTGCGACTGGATGCTTGTTTTCAACGTTAGTTTTTTAAAGGGTAAAAATAAGGTCTTTTAACACTGATTGGATTAAATTGCTTTTAAGTGTAACAAATACTATTTACAAATCGCTAAGCTTCTTTACAGAGGTAGGTACCTATGTACATACTACTCGCAGAGATAGTTTACTAATTGTCGCTTTCAAAATAAGTACTCATTATAATACCTAATGTTTGAAGATGAATAAAATAATGATTTAGTTATATAATCTAAATCTTGCCAAAGTGTGACTAGAGGGATAATTATCTTTTGCTACATGTAAATGAAACCTAATTAACATACACATAATTATGGAAGTTTAAATTAAGTCCACTGATGAAATAAGAGTTCGTTATAGTTGGGTTCAAATGCAATGTTTGCCACAAATATGTTATGTTTAACATGTGAATCTTTTCAGTTGGTGCATGTGCCAGCTATTTCACCCATTGCTTGCATCTGAAAAAAATAATATAAATAAAATCACATTTTATTAAACAAATAGAATGTTAGCAGTCACAATTGACAATGTAGTTTCTAAGTAGAGTTTCTTTCGGATTGCCATCCCATTGAACTATCAGATTTAGGAAATAGTGTGTTTGTATTTTTGCACACAATCGTATACTCTAAAAAGCTGTCCTACGTAGATGGCTAGTCCAAAAATGTACTCGCGTTAAATATCATATTACAATCAAAGTTGAAATCACCACATACCTTTCATCATCTAAGGGAAATGTTACTACGAGTAGCCTTTTCTTGTTATCATTTTTTCCGCTTCTTGCACCATTCAGTTGGAAAGTTTTATAGTGCATATTAAATTTTTTAACGGCTCCTATAGCAAAATTAAAAGTAATCTTAATAAATAAAATATTTACAAGTTTAATTGTTTCATTTGACATTTGTCATTAAAATTTGAGCCCTATAGTACATATAATTTTTACTATGGAAGTTGCGCCAGCCTGCTCGTCCAGTTTTCTAGATACACCAACTGCATAATTAACTTTTTGCAGTGAATAAATCAGTGTATCTATATATGTATAATATAATAGAATTATAAGTGTAATTAGGAACCTAGATATAACTATCACAAAAAGAAATGAGATGAAGTCAAAAACATAACTTGTAAAAAAAATTCAAGTCTCGCAACTCAGTTCTTCTACCGTAAAAAGTTGTGAGATCCATTTAACACCAAGTCGTTTAATTTATTCAGTCGCGACTTTTTTTTTTGTAGGATAAGGGTGATAAACGAGCACACAGTCCACCTGATGGTAAGTGGTTGCTGCGGCCCATAGACATCTACATCTATCCTCGTTTGCGAATCAAAATGCAGATGCGTTGTCACCCGTGAGGACTAAGATGGATTGCCTCATTTCCAGTAAAAAGGGCAAGCTAATTTAATATAATATGTATTACTTGTGAGATGCATTGTGTTTTCATGATCATTAGATTGTTTAGTGCGATTGCCAAGTCAATCTATTTGTTTAAAACATAAAAGATTTTTAATATTGATATGCTCACTGTAAGATGTTATTAGGTTAGCTAATTACGTAATAACTTAAGACAGAAGGACCCTTAAGTAGGGACTGAATAAATTAACCGACTTGGTATTACATGAATGTCACAACTTTTTACGGTAGAAGAACTAAGTTGCGAGACTTGGTTTTTTTTACAAGTTATGTTTTTGACTTCATACAATTATTATAAACCAATTAGGTATCTATGGATTATACATTTATAGATTATATATATTATTTATAATGCAGACAATATAAATATAATATTTGTATTAAAGTTTATAACTGTCTGCGGCGCAGATGCATTGATTCCTTCATTGCTGCATATTACATTATGTACATTATATTATATACAATTTTAAATTATTAATAAACTTAGGCGTTACTTTGCGAAAATCCATTGTATTAAAAATGTTAAAAAATAATTTCCTAAGATCCGCGTAATGAAATAAAATGATTGACATAAATGTACTCATAAGGAAGTAACTACATTTATTCAGGTCCATTGTAATAAAATAAAATAAAGTACATAATACTTTACCTCACGTCCAGCCCTAGGTAAAACACATCCTTTTATTTTATTACGCGGATCTTAGCTGATTAATGTTTAACATCTTTAAGTTTTAGGTTGTTTTCTTTTTCAAAGACAAACTGTCATTGAAACAATTTTTCCGATATATTTTCACTGTTCTGAACTCTTACAATCTCACTGTTATAATTAAGTTCATGACTACTGTTTTAACTTGCATTTACTCTAAATTGTATTAAGAAACAATTTAGAGTTTTAACGTAAACTTTACAATATCATTATTTAAGTGTAGACCATACTTTGTTGCACAAATTATAACAATTCGAAGCTTGAACTTAAACTCAGTGTTATTTCTCAATAAGCCTAATTTTAGTATTAAATACGTCACTGTTTTAATTAAGTGCAAAACGTTTTTCAAAATTGTGTATTTTTCTAAAAGTAAAGCAAGTACACAGTCCTTATAATAGTAAATGGATGTTATAGTCTATAGACATCTACATCTGCTACATCTGTCTTAGATTAAAAATACAGATTATTATTTTCGATACAAATAAAAACCAATAAAAAGTGTATATAATTAAATGTATATCTGTGTATATAATTGAAGAAATAAAATCATCATCAACAAACGTTGAGACATGGGCAGAGTCCAGTTATGGTTGTCTGGTTGACCTGGACACATGACTAAATTACACAATGCCTGCTGGGTTAACAACCTCTGAATTAAATCTTTGCCAGTAAAAAACTAAATTAATTATTAAATCTATTATATGTATGTAACTTTATTGATACAGTATGATGGTGTGCTGCCATTCTTCATCAAAGTGGAAGGTCCGGACCGCTGCAAGCAAGGCGAGCAGCTCGGCCTTCGCGTCGTAGTATTCAACTACCAGCCGCAGGACATTGAAGCTATCGTCGTGCTGGCCGCCTCGCCCGACTACAAGTTTGTGCATGTCGAGGAAAACGGCTTTGTGAGTATTGCCTGTACAAGGAAAGTTTTGTATGTTTTAAGTAAGATAATATTATGAAAACCACGGATACGCTCAAGAGAAAATATTTTGGCTTGTTTGTATGTATTGATGTATATATGTCTGTTCTTTAGGCTGCCTGTAATCTCTAAACTAGTTGTCCTATTTTGACAACGATGTTTTAGTAGAATTGTTATAATGCTGACGGTTCGTTTATCACATCAATTAAATTTATATATACAGGATATCCCAGTACTGGTGGATACTCTGGTACGTACATGTTAAGGCGGGGTGAGGTGGTCTCGGTTCCCTAAAAAAATTTTATCCCGAACGGTTCGGGCTCTACACCATGTTTTATAAAATTCCGAAAATTCGCACTTCTGCTCACATTTGTGGACTTCACATCCGCAGTTTAATGTCTAGACCGGATTTTTTTCTTTTAATGTTATAAAAAATTACCTAATAACGTTCTTTCTAAATTACTCTTAAAAGTTTTCAACTACTATGGGTGGTATTTTACAAGATGGCGCTAAACATAAGTTTTAATGTTTTACTTTAGTTAACTGCTAAGTTTGAGCACCTGTGGTGAAAAAAAAACATATGCGATCTGTTGTACCAACCTTTTAAAAAGTTTGCCATCATCATGAAGATTCTAAAACAGTATCATACCATGTACTTAATGTCATTACTTGCTGAGCTATAGCTGGCTATAGCCGTTAATGTGTAAAAGTAGGCATTTCATTACAAAATTATTTGCAGATAGTTTTTTTTAACATTGCATGTATTTATTAGGTAAGCACATCTGTTCCGCCCTTGAAAATTTTATGTTACTATAAATTACTTTATCTTTCGATATCCTATTACATATATATATATATATACATTCCACGTTCTAATTTGTTTTTATGTGTTATAAATACATTTAAAAAGTTACTAAAATTATTGATTACATGCATCTGTTGCTAAAGGCAACGCTCTAATCATTTGAGGATTACACTAATAGATAGATAATTTAAAAATCTATATTCTTCACCTTTTATTTAATTTTTAAAGTTCGCTTTTCTTTTTTAATTAAAATTAATTCCAAAAATTGTGTGAATTCTATGATAAATAGGCGTACGCAGAGTGCGGGTGGCAGTGCACTTTATGCTCAAGGTTATTTGGTTAGGGAAACGCCTTAATGTTTTTATGTTAAATTGTTAGGGATAAAGTACCTGACTGCCTCAGAAAGAGGGTAATGTTTTTCGAGAGTATGTATGTATGTTTGTATGTATTTCTGTCTGTCTGTCTGTATGTATGCATATTTCTTTGGTACGCTCTGTAGTCTAAACAACTTAATGGATTTTAACATGTAAGACTCGTCTTAATTGTGGGAGTGCCATAGGCAATATAATATTTGTATATTGTGTTTGTAAATAGAAAAAAATAGAGGAGAAAGTTTTTATTTAAATTGGAGTATTTTTTTATTGTTGGGAAATTTGGATACCTTCGGCTGTGGTGGTAACAAAAAGGTTATGCCGGACTTCTACCGGTTAAAACCCCTCGGTCGGTCGGTCACTATCAGCGTATATTTAGAAGTCCGAAGATCTCTGTTCGGTATGCAACTGGGGCCGTCACCCGCTTGGGGACAGTTACTGTCCCCGGGACAATATCAAAGGATTCAATTTGTTTTCTCACAACACCTAACCCTACACTAGGAGTGACTTTAACAAAGGCGCGTAATGGGCTAAGTGATACAGACTCTCGCACGCAGCTGTACGGTGCATTTTGATTGAATATTTACATTTGTGGTAATCAAACAAAAGAGTGACTTTCAATAAGTATTATTTATAATTTATATTGAATAAAAAAGTTTCTGTTTCTGTTTCAATACACGTGCCGCAACAATTGGTAGACTATTTTAACTAAGGTTGTATCCAAGGAGTGCAAAGTATTATGAACATTAGCGACGTTATTATTAGGTTTAAACTTACAAGTTTACTTCGGAGAGTGATTGTTCTGTATTTGTACTGTTATTTATTCAGTGTCCTTGTAATATTTGTGTGTTATCTCTATATATAATATAATCAGGTGCTGTACGTTAGTCTCGGTAAAACTTATAAACTTGTTGAGATCCAAGTCCAATGAGCCTTGCAGAGTCGGGGCGGATCGCTAGTTGTATAAAAATAGATTGTCAAAAAAATGTTTATTTCAATAGCAGTGACAGATAGTGTTGTGTGTGTGCAGGTGCGCTCGTACAACCCGCGCACGTCGTTCGGCGAGCACCAGTTCTTCGTGTACATCGGCGCGGGCGACGCCGCCACCGTGTACGTGCCCGTGGTGGCGGCGCGCCTCGGCGAGCTGCACGTGCGCCTGCACGCCGCCACGCTCATGGGCCAGCACCACTACGTCAAGAAGATCCTCGTCGAGGTACCGCTGCTGGCCGCTGCCCGCACCAGTATCCACTACCCCGCACCGTCCCGTGCCTCTCCTATGACACTTCAAATAAAAAAAACTGCGATTTCCTAGCGTGACAACTATAGCAAATATCCCTCGTAGAAAGCAATCTATGGGAAAAACCTATGTTCTGTATTGGACTTTAATATACTGTAACAATAACCGTAACGGTTATAGAAAGGGTGACAAACGAGCACACAGTCCACCAGATGGTAAGTGAATGCTGTAACCTATAGACATATATATCCACTTGCAATCAAATTTGTTTCCAGTAAAAAGGGTCTCCGGTTCTCTTTCCACCCACCATACGAAACAGCAGCATTAAGCTGCTGTTTTACGCTGGTATACTATGAGAGCGTAGTCCTTTCCCAATCGAGTTACCCGTTCGTGCTAAAACATAATATAGACATAACATTACTTTACCACATATTACTGTTCAGTTATAAAAGTTTAGTCGTATAGTGGCGGTCAAAAATATCCACTACCCCATATCTTCCCGCAGGTGTCGTAAAAGGCGACAAAGGGAAACACGCAGGAGATGAGCAGCAACATCTTAATGATAATAACCGAAATTACAATAAAAAAACTGCGGTTGCCAACCCGCTCGCCAAACGTGGCAACTATGGCAAATACCACCCTATGAAGAGAGTAACAAAGAGACGGCCCCCCAGTCCCCAGCGGCCCCGCTATTCCTGGCTACGGTGGCGACAATGGTAACGGCGGGGCAGGGGGTGCTAAGAATCTCCGGTGGAGGTTCGGTTGCCACCTTAGACGACTCAACCTGGCAACGTACAACACACGCACCCTGAGGACTGACGAGAAGATCGTGGAACTGGAAAAAGAGATAGGCAAGTTATGCTGGCATATTATAGGATTAAGAGAGGGGGAGGACACGGTAATCCTCGAATCCGGCAACTTGCTCTACCACCGGTAAGGCGACCATCTGTCCCAAGGAGGTGTCGGATTTATCGTCCACAAATCTCTCGTTCACAACGTTGTAAAGATCGAGAGTGTGTCGACGAGGGTTGCGTACCTTAAACTCAGAATCACTAAACGGTATTCGCTGAAGGTCATACAGGTTTACGCACCAACCTTAGCACACCCCGCTCAGGAGGTGGAGGAAATGTATGAGGATATCTCTAGAGCCATGCATTCCTCCAAAACCCAATATACGGTGTTAATGGGAGACTTCAATGCAAAACTAGGCACAAGAGAGAACGGTAAGCTGAAAGTAGGGAAATTTGGAATAGGGCAACGGAACCCAAGGGGCCAGCAGCTGGCCGACTTCATGGAGAAAGAGGGACTCTTTATGATGAACTCTTTCTTCCAGAAGCGGCCCCACAGGAAGTGGACCTTCGGTCGAGCCCCGACGGTGCGACAAAAAATGAGATTGACTTCATTATGACGACCAGACGACAACGTTCAGTGATGTCTCCGTGATCGTGAGGGTGAAAACTGGTAGCCATCACCGAATGGTTAGAGGCACACTGAACCTAAACGTTAAGTTGGAGAGGTCTCGTCTAATGAAGTCAACGCTCCGTTCCCCTCGTGCTCTAATCCAAAGTCCCGAAACCTTTCAGCTCGAGTTTTGTACCGTTTTCAGTGCCTAGAAAACTGAAATGAAGTGGACGATATGAATGACAAGCTCGTGGAAACTGTCCATGCGGTCGGAGCTAAATTCTGCAAGACCCGCCGCAGAAGAACACAAAAACTCTCCGATCACACTCTTAATCTCATGGCTGTTAGACGGGATATGAAGCTACAGTCTTCAGTAGATTTGACAGCATATAGGCAACTGAACAGACAGATCTCCAAATGCATGCGGCGGGACTTACGCAACTTCAATACAGCTTATATTGAAGAAGCGAGACAGCTGTACACGTCATCGTTGCAGCCACACGCAAGTGTGAGTAACGATCCAAGAGCGAGTCTTATCCGACACTATTCCGAAGATATTCCGGACGTCAGTCTGAGCGAGATTAAAATGGCTCTCCAGCATCTTAAAAACTGCAAGGCCCCAGGCGAGGATGGAATTACAGCGGTGCTTTTGAAAGCGGGTGGAAAACCGGTACTGGAAGTCCTTCAGAGGCTCTTTAATTCCGTCCTCCATGGTGACATTACACCGGAGGCGTGGAGCAGAAGTACGGTGGTCTTGTTCTTCAAGAAAGGTGACAATGCTCTCTTGAAGAACTACAGACCGATTTCCCTTCTGATCCGCGTCTACGTGCTGTTTTCGAGAGTCGTTACGAATCGTCTCGCGCGCAGACTTCCAGCCTCCCAAACAAGCCGGTTTCCGAAAGGGCTTTAGCACCATAGACCACATACATACCCTTCGGCAAGTTGTACAGAAGTCCAACAACAATTTGCCACTATGCCTAGCGTATGTGGACTATGAGAAAGCTTTGATTCCGTCGAAATTTGGGCGGTGCTGCAGTCCCTTCAGCGATGCCAAGTTGATTGTCGGTATATCGAAGTGCTGAAATGTTTGTACAGTAGTGCTACGATGGCTATCCGAGTACAGAACCAGAGTACGAAACCTATCCAATTGCAGAGTGACGTTATATCTCCGAAAGTCTTCACCGCTGCATTGGAAGACGTTTTCAATATTCTGGACTGGAAAGGATACGGTATTAACATCAATGGCGAGTACATCACTCACCTTCGATTTGCCGATTATACAGTCCTTATGGCAGAATCGCTGGAGGACCTAAGCACTATGCTCAATGACCTCAATAGTGTCTCCCAACGGATAGGTCTTAAGATGAACATGGACAAAACAAAGATTATGTTTAATGTCCATGTCACACCTATGCCGGTAGTTGTTGGGAGCACTAAGCTCGAAGTTGTTGACGAGTATATTTACCTGGGACAAATAGTCCGACTAGGTAAGTCTAACTTCGACCGAGAGGTCAATCGACGGATTCAACTCGGCTGGGCAGAGTTCGGGAAGCTACGACACATCTTCTCGTCAGAAAACACTCACTCACGCCTGACACCCAGAGGGGTAGGCAGAGACTACGGAGTTCCATTTGGCGCGATCCTGACACACCTCTCTCGCCTCTTTTACATCCATATATCTACGCATACACGCTCGTCGGTTAAGGGTACTCCTAATCTGGCCCATTTTTAATGTATCGCCGATTTGGTCGATAAACCTACGTCTAGGGCGTCCCTTCCCGACCCTGCCGTTCACTTCTGCAACATAAATTTGCTTTGTCACCCTTTCCTCGTTCATTCTTTCTACATGACCAAACCACCGCAGCATTCCTTTATTAATCCTTGTCACAACGTCATCTTGCAAACCACACTTTTCTCTTATCACACTATTTCTCGTCAGACATACCTCAAAACCTTAAAACGAAATTGTACAACCAGTGCGTGTTGCCAGTGATGACTTACGGATCTGAGACGTGGTCCTTCACTGCTGGCCGTATGAGGAAGCTCAAGGTCGCTCAGCGAGCTATGGAGAGGGCTATTCTCGGGGTTTCTCTGCGTGATAAACTTAGGAATGAGGATATCCGCAGTAGAACCAGAGTAACCGACATAGCCCAACGGATTAGTAAGCTGAAGTGGCAGTGGGCCGGCCATATAGCTCGAAGAACCGACAACCGATGGGGAAGAAAGGTTATGGAGTGGCAGCCTCGTACCGGTAGGCGAAGTGTAGGGCGACCTCCCACTAGATGAAGTGACGACCTGGTAAGACATGCAGGAAGTCGATGGATGCAGGTGGCTCAGGACCGTGCTTTGTGGCATTCCTTGCGGGAGGCCTATGTTCAGCAGTGGACTTATGAAAGGCTGTAATGATGATGTTGATGATAAAAGTTTTGCGAAATTTGTCGCGAATAGTTAAAGAACATACACCATGAAGTTTATTTACATTACCTATTAAAAGAAAAATCGCTAAATCAAGTAAATCTGATATTATATAACTAAACACAAAAAAACACTTACTCACCATCAGGTTGTGCTCGTTTGTCACATCCGCAAACTAAAAAAATATTTGTAACTATAACAGTATACGAACTTCATACTATGTGAATTTTATCGTTTTTCACTGTACTTGCAAACAGGCAACACTTCAAATTAATATGTGGTATTAAACTACCAATTTCAATAAATACATCTAAGAGAACATTTTGTAATTGTTATTTGTTTAAGTTCATAACACCCAGTAATAACTATCATTATTCTTGTTCGCAGGCGGACGGAATACCGCAGTATCGTCACCAGTCAGTGCTTCTAGACCTGTCGAATCGCGCCTATGTGTTCCAGTACATGCACGTGAATGTCACGGAGACGCCTATTATTCCGTACGAAGTGGACCGTTACTACGTGTACGGGTCGAATAAAGCGCGAGTTACAGTCGTCGGAGATGTGGTAGGGCCGCTGTTCCCGACCATGCCCGTTAACGCCACCAGTTTACTCGACTTACCTATGGTGAGTTATAGTAAAAATTGTAAAGATATTTTCAAAAGGCTATTTATTTTATAAAAAATTCAACTGTGTTTATTGTATATACGAGGTCTGTCCCAAAAGTATCGGACCTACCTCGCTTTCTCGACGCATGATTTATTCTTCGTCATCCGGGGTGTGGCATCCTTCAAAGTAGTCCCCATTTGATTGAACAAGACGCTCATATCGATGTTTCCACTTATTAAAGCACTCTTGAATGTCAGACTTCGGAATCGCCTTTAGTGCATTCGTCGCATTAGTTTCAACAGTCTGTTTATTGTCGAATCGATGTCGAAGCGGCATTTTCAATAGAGGAAACAGCCAAAGTCGCATGGAGCTATATCAGGACTCTATGGAGGCTGCCGGAGCTGCGCAACACTGTGTTTCAATAAATACTGCTGCACAAGGTTTGATGCGTGCGCTGGAGCATTGTTGTGATGAAAAAGCCAGTCACCGGTTTCCCAAAGTTGCGGTCGTTTTCTCCTGATTGCATTAAGTAATCTTTTCAAATCTGCAACTTAGTACTCTTTATTGATTGTCTGGCCTGTATTCATGGTGCACAACGCCCTCATAATCGAAAAAAAACAATCATGATGATTGATGTTGCTTCGACTTTGACGGGCTTTTTTCGGCCGAGGCTCAGATGGAAGCTTACACTGCGAAGATTGTTGTTTTGTTTCAGGATCATAACTATAAACCCATGACTCATCACCAGTAATAACCTTTTTAAGAAAGTATTCATCACTATCAATCATTTTTAAATTGTCCTGAGCGATTTCTAATCGAAGGTTTTTGCTGGTCTGAGAGCAGTTTCGGGATGAATTTTGCACACACACGAGTCAATCCCAAATTCTCGGTTAAAATTCGCCAGACGATCTTGTTTAACTGCGACACATGCTCGACATTATCCGACGATGTTCCCGCTGCTTGTGACTTTTGAACCGCATATACCACTCTTTAATTTGTGTTTTGCCCATACACTCATCTTTAAAGGCCTTTTGCAGCATTTCAATAGTTTCCGCATAACTTTTTTTGAGATTAAAGCAAAATTTTATGCAAATTCGCTGTTCAGTTCGTTCTGCCATTTTTAGCAATAAGCAAATTGCGACGAACGCAAAAAAATCGTTGTAAACAAATAAACGCTGCGCGGGAACTAGGGCGTTTTATCGGTATCTCAAGCCACTAACGAGAAGGTTAGGAGTTGCTGGTGACGTTTGTACCCTCCAGAGGTCGCCTGAGTCTCTCCGCGCGAAGATATGAACGTAGGTCGGATACTTTTGGGACAGACCTCGTATGTTGTGCGATGTCTGCGCTGATTATAGTAGTTCTTTTTTTATTAAATAGTCTATATGTCAAGGATGATCTCATTTTTATTCAAAGAAAACTATTGGGGTTAGTTTTCTTCTGTTGTCTAGGTGGGAAAGGAGATGAAATTTTTTGGGGATTAGTTTATTGAAGAATTAAAGCCTGACTACAAAAGCTATGAAATTATTTGGAAATTATTTTATCATTTTTTTTAGTTTTGTGACGTCAGTTTTTGCTTTTTTGAAGTTATATTTGTTGTGTACGTGTGAGAGCGAGAGAGCTAAGTGAGGAGCGGGGTGTGCGCAGGACTCGGCGGAGCAGAACATGTTCAGCTTCGCGGCCAACATGTACCTGACGCTGTACATGCGCCTCACCAACCAGCGCAACCGCACGCTGGAGCGCGACGCCTTCGCGCACATGAACGTGCTGTACCAGCGCCAGCTCTCCTTCATGAAGCCCGACGGCTCCTTCAGCCTGTTCCGCAGCGACTGGTGGGTGCACTGCTTGCTCCTCATACCCCCTCTTGTTTTTCCTCCACCTCCTTCTCCACTTATCCTCCTCCGCCAATCATTCTCCGTCACTCTTTCTTCATCCCTCCTTAGTCAAGAAATACTACCACTGATCATTTGTCCCACCCTTATTAGAACAGAATTTACTCGTGTCACTTGGCATGTTTATTAGCAATCACAATAGTAATAATAATAATAAGACCTACTAGCTAAAACCTACTCAACTACAGTTATCTATTATAACATGTTCAATCTAATACTCTTCAAGTGAGTTCCATATTGTTTTTTTTTTTTGTAACAAAATTTGACATCAAATATATTATGCTTAATTATATTTTTATTATATTAATTATGATAAGCTATTTATGATGCTGGCGAGACATAAAGAAACAAATACACATACATACATAATACCTCAAAACATGAACCTCCTATATAATATAAACAACAAGTCTACACATTAAGTACGATTGCAATGTTTAAACTATTGTTTTTGAACTTGCAATCTTACTACAGGGGTGTCACTTCCACTATGGAAGGTATGGAGCACTCCATACCTCAAGTTTTTCAAGGTATGGAATTCCATAGCTGAAATTAGGAAATAAATCGCATATTACTACAAACCTCATATAAATAAATCGCAAGCCCTTAAACCTCAATACCCCACATCTTATAGTTCAATAAATAAGTTGAGTATATACACTGCAAACTCTTAAACCTTAATACCCCACGAGTAATGCGAACAAATTTGAAAATCGCGCCACCATTTTCCATACCTCAGATTTTTACAAAGTGACACGCCTGTCTTACTACACCAATAACAACAAAACTACAACAACATTTTGGTAGAAATCCATTCAACCCATTTTGTTAAAAGAGTATTATGATTATTACAATCTCGCATACGATATAGCAGCAATAAATGACATGTTCTTGATTTCTTTAGGCTGAAACTGATAACTTAGCTGTATGTAATGATACCAGGTGCCAGAACTCCTTTTCTGACCAGGAGTCTAAGTTGCTACCACCCTCTGCTTCTGATCTGACCATATTACTGACACCTGGTGTAATTGGCTAGCACACACTATTTATTGATGTTAACCATTAGCACTATCATCACAGCCCATCACGTCTACTGCTGTGTAATTGGGTATACTTAGAAGCATCTAACTAGTCCAGCTAGTCCAACCGATCTTTAAGATAAACTGCCAATGTGCATGTTGCTCGTAACTAAAAATCGTAGGGGACGAAAAGTTCTTGAATTGCAGTCTTGTACTTGTAAGTGCAGTGTAATGGATGCCACACACGATCCAGTTTACCGTCAAGTTTGCAGCGCGCCTGTAACTGCATCCGGTAATCTTAACGGTGTATGGCTATCAGTGTGTATGACAAGTCTACTTTGAGCAAAAATTGAATTTCGATTCTGCCGACTTGATCAAGATTGCAGCGTCATGTAAACTTGAACGTGTGTATGAGCGATAAGCCTAAGATAGCTAACGCGTCGTCCGTCACTGCTGACACCATAGTTTCAACTGGTGCGGCAGCATGCAAACTAGACGGCGATCTTGAACGTGAGTGGTCTATATGGATGCACTGCAAACTGGACGCCGCTTCAAGTGCGCTGCAAACTTGACGGTAAACTGGATGGTGTATGACATCCATAAAGGAAAGCTACTATTAAATAGAGATATAATTGGGGCACGCAAGGAATAGATCAAAGCGGGGTCGGAACCACGTTATGGCAGTGTTTGGTGATTCCTAATGGGCGACTATAGGCGTAAGATTCGATTTAAATAATGAATGTCAACTGTGTTAGGAATAGTAATTACGTTTATATTTTTTTAATAGGAATCAATCTGCGTCAAGTGTGTGGCTGACGTCATTTTGCGCCAAAATATTACAAGAAGCATCCTTCAACGAATGGGAGAATTATATCTACATTGACCCTGACGTAAGAAATTAATTAGTAATATATTAGCTAGTAGGTATCCTTTAAGAGTTAATACAAATATGTAGAGGCCAGATTCTTAACAGGTGAATAGATACAGAGTGTAAAGAAATAAACTGCTAGGATTTTTATATTTTAGTGCAAATAGCACTATAAAAGTGTTTTTTTTTTAAATCTTACTTCGTTTTCTACCGACTTCAAAAAGGAGCCGGTACTCAATTCGACTGTATGTTTTTTTTATGTGTGTTACCTCATAACTTTTTACTGGGTGAACCGATTTCGATGATTCTTTTTTATTTGAAAGCTGGTGCTTCACATGTGGTCCCATATATATTGGATCAAGGTCTGACCAATAGTTATTGAGTTATTCTTAATAATTTATATTGAAGTCGGCTGTACAACATTTTTAATTTTATATTATTATCATATTCTTTCATTGTCATCCAAATTTGAGATATATTCAAAATTTCAAGTTTCCTGCATATCGGGAAATTAGGTTAAAATCAATTACTGAATTCCACCTGGAACGATAGACAAACAAGAAAGTGACTTGATTAAAACGTGGTAAGATAAAGTTACAGCATATATACATTCCACTGCTGGGCAAAGGCCTCCTCTATTTTTTAAAGTATTAGCGATAAGTCCGCGGTGCTGATCTAGTACTTTTTGGCAGACCTCACATGTCCTCAAAATATTTTATTCCTCAGACATGCCGGTCTCCTCACGATGTTTTTATTATTCGTTACCGACCACGTGATAAATCAGAATTTAAAATTGCAATCAAGTCAATAATTTCACTGTTGTCTGTAGGCATTATGCTCCATAGCTCGCATAGTATTCTGCATGGTAAAACCACGCTACAGCTAGCTATTTTAAGGCTGTAGAGCAAATAGGCTGAAGCGACCAGGTAAGCGCCATATCTGCTTAGAATGTTAGCATAATAGACTGTGTGTTCATATGGTTAGTGACGAGAATCATATAGGCTATTTTATTGGTAACTAGGTATTCCTTTTTAGTTTTCAGGCGTAACAATGCATCTGCATTCTTGAATTTTATTCGAGGATAGATGTAGGGATCTATGAATCATAACATAGCATTTGCTTACTTTTAGGTAGACTGTGCTCCCCTTTGTCAAAAACTTACGAATAGTCAACAAACACAGGTTTTATCTTTAAATTTATTTATTACGAAGCATTTAACTTTTAATTGAAATGCCCTAATTTAAAAGATTGATTAATACACAACATAAATTAAAATAGAATAGAAACTTTTTACTCTAAATAGATTATAAATAATACTTATTGAGATATTTATGTTTGGTTTTCCACTGGTTGGCAGAGCAAGAAACTCAGCGCAACATTTAATAAAAAGAACAATTTACAATCATATATTATATTACACAATTAACTACATAAAACAAATTAGAAACAGCTTGGTAGTGATCAAATTAATCTATATGCCGTTCCTGATACTATGCACTATCCCATAGCTAATTTCAATGGCGGTGTCCTGGATATTGGAGCATCAGACCCCGGAAGGTGCATTCTACGAGGTGACGTGGTCACCTGATCGCAACGCCAACTCTTCTATCTCCGTACCCGCAAATTCTGGACTGTTCCGTGGATCAGCTGGACACCTGGGCGTAGAGGTACGGCTGTCTGTGAGCCTGTTAAGTTTTTTTTTTTAATATTATTCTAAGTCAGCGCTTAACTACAATCCCACCTGATGGTAAGTGGTAATGTGTAGCATAATATGGTGAAGCGCACTGACTTAACAAAAGCCTATTCACTTTTGCTTTGAAGACACCCACATTGTAATCGGATGGAAACACAGATGCTGGCAACTTATTCAACTCCTTTGCTGTACGCGTGATGAACGATGTAGCAAATAGTTTGTTTCGAAAGCGTGATAAGTCAATAACGAAAGGGCGGAGACTGGCCGAACGTCTAGTTGTTCGATGGTGGAAGAGAGAGTGAGGAATTGTGCACATTCTCCGAAATGCATCTTTTGGAAAACCGAAAGGCTGGCTACTTTGCGCCTGTGTTCGAGGCTGGTAAGATTTGTTTTAACCAAATTTGGTCACCAATAAGCCTCTTAGCACGCCTTTCCGTTGAGTCTAAAGCTTAGTTAAGTTAGTTACATCATACCAGCAGCGTCACCATCACCTTAAAATTATAGCAAGAGAGAGAGAGAGAGAGAACAAGGAAGCCTAATAGAGGTCCTATTAGGCTTCCTTGTACATTTACTATATACTGCTAATATAATTTCGTGACTTAATCGGTAAACCTGACATCTGAGCTTAGGTTCTCAGTTCGAATCAGTTAGAATCTTCCAATGTCAAACAAGTAATAGTCTATGGTCAAAAACAATAACAGAAATACAGCTTGCTTAATATGCATACCTAAAAATATAATAACATTATATCTAAATAATTAGGAGTTGGCTATTGAATATATATTCAATGTATAATGATTTCTTATATTTACGCGAACACTACACATTGAATAAAACTATTTTTACGGATTTTATAGCACTTAATTTACTTAATAATTCCCGACGTTTCGGGTGCTTTACAGCAACCCATGGTTACGGGGAGGACTGAGGTGTTTGACGTCCCGATGTCACAGTTAGCCCGGCTACCTTTTAATTTTTGTTTCGATCTACGCAGTCAATCAAATCTGATGTAATGGCGGGGACGATCTTGAACATGTTCACAGACTGCAGACTTCCCATAGCGTCAGTGCCTCACGTCAGCTATATGTTCTTTCACGCGGGTTTTAATGCATCTTTTTGTTTGTCCTATTTTTTTTTTTTTTTTTTTTATAGAATAGGGGGCAAACGAGCATGCGGCTCACCTGATGGTAAGTGACTACCGCCGCCCATGAACAACCGCAACACCAGGGGGATTGCAGATGCGTTGCCGGCCTTTTAGAAAGGTGTAAGCTCTTTTCTTGAAGGTTCCTAAGTCGTATCGGTTCGGAAAATTCGCTGGTGGTAATTGATTCCACAAAGAAGTTGTGCGAGGGAGAAAACTTCTTCTAAATCGCACAGTGGTGGACCGCCAATCATCCAGATGGTACGGATGGTAACGCGAGTTTTGTCGCGACGTGCGATGGTGAAATTGAGCGGCTGGAATTAGTCCGAACAATTCCTCAGAGCACTCCCCGTGATAGATGCGATAAAATACGCAAAGAGATGCAACATCTCTACGCAGTGCCAGTGTATCGAGCCGATCGGAAAGAACTCGGTCGTCGACGATTCGAACCGCTCTGCGCTGGATGCGGTCAAGTGGAAGGAGCTGGCACTGGGGTGCCCCGGCCCAGAGATGAGAACAGTATTCCATGTGGGGCCGAACTTGAGCTTTGTAAAGTTGCAAGCGATGTGCCGGCATGAAATACTGTCTCGCTCTGCTGAGCACGCCAAGCTTTTTAGAGGCCAATTTGGCCTTCCCTTCCAAGTGACCACGAAACTGCACGCTATTCGATATGTCGACGCCAAGGATTCCGATACTGGCTGAGGCAGCAAGGGGAGTGCCTTGAAACTGAGGAGATACGACAAAGGGGTTCTTTTTAGCGGTAAACGCGCAAACTTGTGTCTTCTGGGGATTGAACTGGACTAGATTTAGTCGGCCCCAATCCGAGACTTTGTTAAGCAAAGACTCGACTTCAGACACAAGTTTGTCCCGGTACTCGGCGACGTTTTCCCGAGAAATATTGGCACGGCCGGTATATAAGGCATCCCCAGTGCTGTCGTCTGCATAGCAATGAATGCTACCAGTTAGCAACATATCATTGATATGCAGGAGGAACAGCGTTGGTGATAGCACGCAGCCTTGTGGAACACCAGCGTTGATAGGCTTGTAATCAGAGCATGCACCGTCTACTACGACCTTGATGCTCCGATCAGCAAGGAAACTGGTGATCCATTTGCACAATTTCTCGGGAAGCCCATAGGAAGGAAGCTTCGAAAGAAGCGCCTTGTGCCAGACCCGATCGAAGGCCTTCGCTATGTCCAAACTAACGGCCAATGCCTCCCCCTTGGACTCTACTGCCTCCGCCCATCTATGAGTTAAGTAAACTAGAAGATCACCTGCTGATCGACCCCGACGAAAACCGTACTGACGGTCACTGATCAGCTGGTGATCCTCAAGGTACCTCATGAGCTGGCAGTTTATAATGGATTCCATTATTTTGGAGAACAAGGAGGTGATGGCGATAGGCCTGTAGTTGGACGGGTCTGAGCGGTCGCCTTTTTTAGGGATCGGGTGGACCAAAGCTGTCTTCCATGAATTCGGGACTACGCCTTGGGAGTAGGAGTACCGGAAAAGACGCGTTAAAACCGGTGCCAACTCTGGAGCACACGTCTTCAGCACAATGGGAGGGACTCCATCGGGCCCACTCGACTTACTGACGTCCAGGGAGAAGAGTGCTTTGCGAACCGAGCGCTGTGTAAATCGCACATCCGGCATGGAGCACTCACATCGCGGGATGGTCGGCGGTGTGTTCCCCCCGTCATCTAGAGTCGAGTTAGACGCAAAAAGAGAGCACAACAGATCGGCTTTCTCTTTTGCGGCATGGGCCAGTGAGTCGTCCTCTCTGTGCAGAGATGGGAGGGATGGCTGACAGAAGTTCCCTTGGACAGCCTTGGCGAGAGACCAGAATGCACGGGTTCCCGAAGGAAGGCGAACTAGCTTCTCGCCAATTCTGCCGATGTGCTCAGACCTTGCCTTGGCAATGACGCTTTTGAAGGACCTGGAGGCGGAATTATACTTCTTTTTAAGTGCGCTGGTGTTTAAATCCCGAGACGTTGATGCGTCAGCCCAGGCCCGGTAGCACTCCTGCTTATAGCGTGATGCTATTTTACAGGAGCGATCAAACCATGGCTGGGATCTGCCTCCGATGGGCACCACAGAGGATGGAATAAAAAGTTCCATACCCTGAAGCACCACATCAGCAACAGAATCGGCAACAACGCTGGGATCTTCCGGCGAGAAGCAAACCCGCCCCCAAGGGTAGGATGCAAAAAAAGACCGCATCCCATCCCAATCAGCTGACCTATAGTGCCAAACACGGCGGCAAGCTGTAGATCGCAACTGCGATTGGAGCGTGAGTGGCACCGTGCTCCGGATCAGACAATGGTCCGAAGAGCCCAGAGGGGCATCGACGGAGACCTGATATCCGTCCGGATGAGAGGTCAGCAGAAGGTCCAACAGGGAAGGTACATGGTCTTCCACATCTGGGATCCGCGTAGGCGAAGTAACCAGTTGTGTTAGACCATATGCCAAAGCAAAGTCGTAGACAGATCTACCCGCATGATCGGTTAAACGAGAACCAAGCCATTCAGCGTGGTGGGCGTTGAAATCACCGAGTATCACGATCTCTGCGGATGGGACCTGTTGTAGCACGGAGTCTGCAGCCATTTGGACGTGGTCGATGAGTCGGTCTGTGTCGGCATTACCGCTATGGGACCTATAGAGGCACCCGTAGACGCGGGGATGGTCGTCGCTGTCTACGCGCAGCCATAGGATGGACAGGTCCGTACCTTCAAGGCTGCCGAGGCGTCGAAAACAGATGTCCTCTCTGACGTATACGCAAACTCCAGCCCGGGGCACAAAGGAGTGTTCCAATTTGTATCCCGGGTAGGAGAGATATGAAGTATCAGCCGGAGAGGACACCTGAGTCTCGGTTAAAAAGAGCAAGGCCGGCTTCGCCGTCTCTAGATGGTAATGGACAGCGTTAAGGTTGGAATGAATTCCCCTGATGTTGCAAAAATTCACGGATAGCGTGACAGGGGTCGCCTTGGTTGTATTGCTCCGCTTGCCCCGAGCAGCATTAGTCATGAGCGGAATTTTGCCCCCCCCAGAATACGCGGGGCAGCCTGAGCACCCACGCTCAAGAGTGAAGTAGTTTGTTCGTGGATGCTCAGCGAGGGATTCTCCAGGGGTGCTGGTACCCTCCTGGGGTAGTCTTGTATTTAATTCCACTACCATGTTGATGGGGGGGGGGGGGGGGGGGGGGAAATTGGGCCTCCGGCCACCTGCACTCACCAAGCGCAACGCAGAGGTAAACCTCTACTTCACGCTGGTATTCTGTGAGGTCGTGGTACCACCCCGGTTCGAGCTGGCCCATCCGTGCGACAGCAAAAGCTACCGCTTGGCTCTACCACTGTTAAAGAGACCACATTCGCAATCAAGCTTGTACAATCCTGCATCTTGTAGAGGGATATTACACTTCCTTTCATCTCCTTTCGTCTTTTTCCTATACGTACCAACCCATACCAACCGATATTTAAATGGTGAATCGCACCCATCATCCATCACAGTTAGCTACCGTGGGAAAATCTTTGTTTCAGAGGGCACGAGGGATCTGTGATAGAAACATCATCATCTCACTCGACCCCGTGATCATGGGTTGGCTGTAAAGCACCCCAAACATCGGGAATTAAAATAAGTAAATTAAACGCGATAAAATCCGTAAAAATAGTTTTATTCAATATTGAAAATATATTTGACCGTGGAATGAAAAGGGGAGATCTCCCGTCGGGCAAGGTGTGTTCCGCCCGGAACGCGGCCAATGCTCCATGTGATGGTTTGGAACTATTCTATATATTGTGCAGTACTTCGGAACTTTAATAGCATGATTAGGCTTCGGTGTGTTTCGCTTGTGGCGACAGCGCCGTCACTTATTATATAAAATCAAGTGGACTGTCAGTTCATTTATCACTCGAATGGTATGAACTTTTAATAAACATATATTTTAGGTAATCGTAATATATGTTTATATTTTGGCAGGTGAACGACTCGATTATACTACAACGTAACGTCACACTTACGGCCCAGGTCGTCATCACCTTGGAATCTGTCAAGAGTCTGAAAGACATTGGATTTAGAGAGGTAAATATCGTATTTGCTACTTACAACGCATATATTACACACTTAAATTAATTAATTAATTAAATAATAAATTATATTATATTACAAATAATAGAAAAAATATATATTAAGAAATCTGTTATTTAATTCATCGTCTTTTGTTCCAAAGTAACGAAGCTCGAGATGAAATATCGATAAAATCGTTGCTTATCGATACTCACCTTTACCGATTATTAATAGATGAGAAACTAAACTCTCTAAATAAACAAGTTTGCAACAAGAAAAGACTGCAGAACTTGATATCTCACTAAAAATTTAACACAGCCTAAAATCACTTGTACTCACACATTCACTTTAGCCGCATTTCTCTCTTAATTTATGGCTTCCAGAAGAAAGAACATATGTTGCTAGCTAACAAACAGTAGAAATAAACATGTTCCCGAACTGTAGACAGTTCTAGAGACAACTTGATCTAATTACCAGACTTATTTCCGGTCACCCCATTTTACGGTAGTGAATATTTTTTTTTTGCATAAAAGGGGGCAAACGAGCTTGCGGTTCACGTGGACAGTAACGGTGTCGTACTGTGACACGCAAGTGTGAGACCAGAGGAATGAGGGCATCCACGATTTTTTTCTGCCACTAGGGCGGCGATACTTTAGAACGAGGGGAAATAAATGACAGATCTTATCCAGGGGAATTTAATTTGTTAGGAAAGTTTTGAGATCAATCTTTCTTTATGAAATATTACTTATATTTCATATTAATTAAATCTAGAAATGCTTGAATCAAATTACGATTATTCCTAAAACAAGACGATTTAAAAAAAAGTTGAAAATATCTAAAAAAATAGTATAACGCATTTAGCCATCGCTTTGTGTATACAGGGTGGCCAAAAAGTCGTGGATCAAACGCAACTAGGGGTTAGATGAGGTCATCAGCTGCAAAAAATTGTTCTACGGGGGGTCCTTAAGGTCAACCCCTGCAGAGTTATAATTTATTTTGTGTTTTTATGAGAAAATTGACTTTTTTTACTAATTCTTACTTAAATTCGAAAAAATTTACACCTGTATCTTTTTTATGATTTTCAATAGATTGGTACAGATGAGTCCTTGCGTTAGACATACTATTTATGGTTGTTTATCGGGTGTGTTAAAGAAAATATTAAGTTTTATGAATTCTTTTTTCTCAAATCATAACTTTTGTATTTACTTCGGAACCCACTGTGTAAAAAAAATACTCTACCGAAAAGTGACCCTGTATTACAAGTTTTGGCGCATTTAATAGGGATTCTGAAAAGGTATTACACATGGCCATGAGTGGCTCTAATATCGGTTTAGGACGAAAAAACAAAACAACGGTTGTGAAAGAATTGTTTTAATAAAAGAAAACATTTTACAATAAATGCTCAAAATTCCTACCTCTGACCATAACACATAATCTGCACCGTCTAATAAAATTCCTACGTAACCTACGGAATGCACCTCTGTTGTTAATAACTTGCACCCTAGCAAATTCGAGCTTTTGTCGTAACTCTTGTTCGCTATTGTTCTCTCCTTGATAAACTATTTCTTTAAAATAGCCCCAAAGAAAAAAATCTAATGGATTTAAATCGGGCGACCGGGGTGGCCACGCCATAGGTCCGCCTCGACCAATCCACCGGTTGGGGAAGCGCTCGTTCAAATGATCTCGAACTGCTCGAGCGTAGTGAGGCGGGGCGCCGTCGTGTTGCAGCCACATTTCTGCTATTCTTGCTTCTGGAACCTCAGCTTCGTTAAGAATTCGGTTTAAATTATTTTGTAAAAAATTTAAATACAGAGCACCATTCAGCCTTGCTGGCATTTCATGCAGCACCAACTGCTGGCCAATTATACCAGCCCACATGTTTATACCAAACAGATGCTGGAATCGATCATTTCTTATGATATGGGGGTTCACTCTGGAGTAAAAATGTAGGTTGTGGATATTAAATACTCCCATTCTTCTAAAATTTGATTCATCCGTCCATAATACCTTGTTGAAGAACTGCGGATCCTCTCTGTGATATCTTAACATCTCTCTGCAAAACCTCACTCTAGGTTCATAGTCACCAGGCGCCAAAGCTTGCACCATTTGCACGTGATAGGCGTGATATTTCTTTCTTTTAATGATTTGTTGCACCGTCGACCTTGGAATCCCGAGATTACGGGATATTTGGCGTTGACTTATACCAGGATCCAATCTTAATTCTCTCAGCACTTCATTTCCATTTTCGAATCGCACCGCTGGTCTGCCTGCTCTCGGAGCGTGCTGACCGGGTAAGACTCCCTCCGTGTACGAATTATGTACGCGCATAAAGACCCTGTAGTCTGGAAAACGATCACGGCTAGGGTAGCGTTGACGATATTCCCTGGCAGCAGCCCGAGCATTGCCGTCGCAAAAGCCATACAGATAATGCATTTCTGCATACTCCCGTTGGGTGTATTCTCTCCTTGCAGCAGCCATCTGTCCACTTTTGTAGCCAATCTGTCCGATTCCGAATCTAGTCCGATTCACACAGCACTGGATATAGGTAGGCAATCTATCACAAGTCCAAAAAACAAAGCGTAGGTCAAAGGAAAGAAACTGATCACAAGTCGTCGTAAAACCGAGAAAAAGAACACGTGCGTAGTCACAGGCAGGAAGCGAGTCACTAAAGAACACTAAACATTCTAAAGAAAGATGCTCACGCGCATCCCCCGGCCCCCACCCCGGCCGGCCCGGCCTTTTGTTTCCTAGAAAAGATATTGCTACCTGAACTGACGGGCGAACTGGCTTTTATTGACAAAGGATGAAATGGTTAGTGTGAAAGAGAGAGCTTTTGTTATTAATTGTAGTTCATGTTTATTTTTAATAGGCCTAACCGAGACTTACGGTTGGACTTATTTTGGCCTTGCTACGAATTATCGTCCTCGAAAGATATCAAAGCCATGCATAGCCATGTGTAATAACTTTTCAGAATCCCAATTAAATGCTACAAAATTTGTAATACAGGCTCACTTTTCGGTAGAGTCCTCTTTTTCCACAGTGGGGTTCGAAGTAAATTATCAAGGAGGGAAACAATAGCGAACAAGAATTACGACAAAAGTTCGAATTTGCTAGGGTGCAAGTTATTAACAACAGAGGTGCATTCCGTAGGTTACGTAGGAATTTTATTAGTCGGTGCAGATTATGTATTATGGTCAGAGGTAGGAGTTTTGAGCATTTATTGTAAAATGTTTTTTTTTTTAAAACAATTCTTTCACAACCGTTGTTTTGTTTTTTCGTCCTAAACCGATATTAGAGCCACTCATGGCCATGTGTAATACCCTTTCAGAATCCCTATTAAATGCGCCAAAACTTGTAATACAGGGTCACTTTTCGGTAGAGTATTTTTTTTACACAGTGGGTTCCGAAGTAAATACAAAAGTTATGATTTGAGAAAAAAGAATTCATAAAACTTAATATTTTCTTTAACACACCCGATAAACAACCATAGATAGTATGTCTAACGCAAGGACTCATCTGTACCAATCTATTGAAAATTATAAAAAAGATACAGGTGTAAATTTTTTCGAATTTTAGTAAGAATTAGTAAAAAAAGTCAATTTTCTCATAAAAACACAAAATAAATTATAACTCTGCAGGGGTTGACCTTAAGGACCCCCCGTAGAACAATTTTTTGCAGCTGATGACCTCATCTAACCCCTAGTTGCGTTTGATCCACGACTTTTTGGCCAACCTGTATACATACACTAGAAACAAAAAAACTTATATACTTATATTTATATTATAAACGTTAAATCGCGACTGTTTAGTGATGATGACACTGTGTGACTATCTGCGTAACGAATAAGTTCACCTCATTCCCAACTAGCGACAACTGGCGAGCGAAAGATTATTAGCCCTCATTGCAGATGCTTTACCGACCTTTTAAAAAAAGTAGACTCTTTCCTTGAAGGTTTTCTATAACAAAAGCATGGCATTTGGCAGGGTCTGAGCGCTCGGGTGGCCCAGGCGCAACGCAACGGCATCCTATGGTTGGAGAAGAACCTGAAGCTGCTGGAGGAGTACGGTTCGCCCTACTCGCTGGCGCTGGTCGCCTACGCGCTCACTTTCAGCAAGGCACCCAGCTCCGAGCACGCTTACCGACTGCTCAAACGGAAGCAGCGTTCCGAAGGTATACTCCCCACCCCCGCTCATCTCCCTTTTTATGCTTTGCCGTTTCAATTTTTTTAATGCCAGCTATATGCCACTTGTCACAAATTATAAAAAGACTCACACAGACCAATTTTTTTCCACTCTTCTCCTTTTTTTTTTTAATACAAACCGTTTCTTTTTTAATGCTGGCTATTTACACTTTTGTCACAAATTATAAACAAAATTTTACGCAGACCAAGTTTTTTTTAAATAAACAGTCAAATATTAGAATGCAGTACCAAAAATATGCTGTCCCCGTGGTTTTGTAAAGTAACTAAACTATTATTCTATTTAAGGCTTTTTTTTATAAGGTAAGGGTGACAAACGAGCACACAGTCCACGTGATGGTAAGTGGTTGCTGTGGCTCATAGACATCCACATCTATACTCGATTACGAATCACAATATAGATGCATCGTCACCCGTGAGGACTAAGATGGAATGCCCCGTTTAGCCTTTTATCTGGTTTGGTACTTGGTAAAGCCTCGCTGAATTTGTACATAGTTGGACTACCACGCTCTCACAAAATACCAGCGGGAAATAATAGCTTAATGCTGTAGTGTTTCATATGGTGAGCGTAGAGAACCGGAGACCCTTTTTAACGAGGCATTCCATCTTAGTCTTCAGTTGTGACAACGCATCTGATTTTTGATTCTTAATCGATAATAGATGTAGATTTCTATGGGCTGTGGCATCCACTTACCATAAAGTGGAATGTGTGCTCGTTTGTCAGTTTTATTATATAATAAAGGAGAGAACTTTAGTTTCCTGTAAGGTGTAAATCTGCGTAAAAAATAGGCTAGACAAAAATGTCGTCAACAGCAACACGTTGAAAATGATAGCCTTTTATCCACAGGTGGACTGGTGTACTGGGGCATTGAGCCGGTTCCGCAGCCGCCGTTCAAGATGGAGAACCAGAAGCCGTTCCTGCTGCCCCGGCTGCCGTACAAGTACGACTCCAACAACATTGCGGCCACAGCGTATGCGCTACTGACCTGCATGGACCACCAGGACAACAACGAGCCCATTGTCATGTGGCTCAATGCACAGAGACTGAAGGACGGCGGCTGGGCCTCCACGCAGGTATTTACACCATATATAGTAATCGGTAACTGGGATTGTGAGGGAGAAAATGCCTGCTGTTCCTAAAACACCGTATTCACCACACTTATATGTGATAGAGCCTCGCTGCGGTGTATTTGTATTATTATGCGATGATATTTTATTATTTTTAGTTCTTTAAAGTTGTCTTTTACTTTTTATTAAATCTAATTTTGTGAAGCTGATTTGCTTGTTATTGAAAAATGTTATTTGTACTGAAATAAACAAGCATCTGTTCTAATATGATATTTAAAATCACATTAAAACAATTTTTTTTTAAATATACAAAGAAACTAATTTGCCAATTCTTTTATAATACTACAAAGCAAATTCTTTGCAAACTAACGAATGTAAGTCCAAAATGTTGGCATTAAGTTGGTTGGTTTTCAAATTTTCTGCAAACAAAACATGGAATGTGAACTGTGTGAAGCTGAACTCACGATATGTGATGGGGTGATGTTGTACTCTCTTACGTCGTCACCACACGTCATTTTACGCATTGTTAAGGTGTATAAGGCGAGTGTGAATGAAAGTGTTGGAAGGGGTAGACCTAGGCGGACATTTCAAGACCAAATTAGGGACGTCTTGAAAAAAAGGCCAGGTCAAGAGTACCCTCAACCGAAGAGCATGTATGAAGGGAATAATGAAAGTGGACGAAGCGAAACAAGTATGTAAGGATCGTAGCAAGTGGAAAGAAGTGGTCTCTGCCTACCCCTTAGGGAAAGAGGCGTGATTATATGTATGTATGTATGATTAAGTAATTAACATATAAATATAGTATAGATTGGCGATGGAGTGTTTAGGGCGAGACCAAAATCAAAATACACCAGTGTGCGTGTAATGTGCATGTGTGGGTAACTATTAGTGCTGCACCATGCACTGTCTGACTCAACTACAATTACACAGCCATTTTTTTTGTGGGGCTGTGTTGTCGATACCGATCGCAATATATTCGTGTCTTCTGATTTGACACAGATGATGTAAGAGAATTTTTTTACCCGACTACAACGGAGTCAAAAGGATGGTTACGATTTTAGAAGGCCATGTATGTTCTTCAGATCTGTTCCCACAGATGTTCTAACTAGTCATCGTATTTTGACAAATTAGATAGCTTTAGAAGCATTGTGCTCTAAAGTGCCGCTCGCGGCTAATACTGCTCGGGGCGAGCGGAGCAATAAGACCAAGGCATCCTCTGAATTAATTAATTTGTTTTTAATAATCATAAATATGTATACACGATTAAGTTTCTATCTAATTTAACATTTTAAAATTTTTCGTTTTAATTGACATTATATTTTGACTTCAGTTAATTAATTTGTTTTTAATAATCATAAATGTACACAATTGAATTTATATTTCTTGTTTAAATTAATTTTTTGCATGTATACCTTTAAAATATTTGCACACATGTAGTGGTAGAATGTAAATGGGCCATTAGATATAATTTAAGATCATACTGTATTGTACACTTACATTCTGGCAAATATATGAATTTGAATTTGAATCTGTCACGCTATCCGTGAATTTTTGCAACATCAGGGGACTTCCAACCTTAACGCTGTCCATTACCATCTAGAGACGGCGAAGCCGGCCTTGCTCTTTTTAACCGAGGCTTAGGTGTCCTCTCCGGCTGATACTTCATATCTCCTACCCGGGGTACAAATTACAACACTCCTTTGTGCCCCGGGTTGGAGTTTGCGTATACGTCAGAGAGAACATCTGTTTTCGACGTCTCGGTAGTTTTGAAGGTGCGGACCTGTCCATCCTATGGCTGCGCGTAGACAGCGACGACCATCCCCGCGTCTACGAGTGCCTCTATAGGTCCCATAGCGGTAATGCCGACACAGACCGACTAGTCCAAATGGCTACAGATTCCTTGCTACAACAGGTCCCATCCGCAGAGATCGTGATCCTTGGCGATTTTAACGCCCACCACGCCGAATGGCTCGGTTCACGTTTAACCGATCATGCGGGTAGATCTGTTTATGACTTTTCTTTGGCATATGGTCTAACACAACTGGTTACTTCGCCTACGCGGACCCCAGATGTGGAGGATCATGTACCTTCCCTGTTGGACCTTCTGCTGACCTTTCATCCGGACGGATATCAGGTCTCCGTCGATGCCTCTCGGGCTCTCCGGACCATTGTCTGATCCGGAGTACGGTGCCACTCATGCTCCCATCGCAGTTGCGATCTGAAGCTTGCCGTCATGTATGGCACTATAGGTCGGCCGATTGGGACGGGATGCGGTCTTTTTTGCATCCTACCCTTGGGGGCGGCTTTGCATCTCGCCGGAAGATCCCAGCGTTCTTGCCGATTCTGTTGCTGATGTTCAGTTTACACCGAACACATTATGTACGCGTAGGCATTTTACTTTAAAGTTTTTATTTAAGTCAGTACATGTACGGACGCCAACATTGTCTCGTGTGTGCTCACATACATAACATTTATAAACATATAACATTTATAAACATTGTAACAATAATATTATAACAATATAATAAACATTTTGTGCATAAACAGTATTTTAAGTAACATTTACATCAAAAGGTGTTGAACACACAACACCTTTTTGGTCCTTCGAGAGTGAAGTGTGATTGTGATTTTTTCGGTGATAGCGAATCGGTTTGTCTGGCCTCCCAGAAGCGGGTCTCACCAGGCAGATTGAGAAGGCGCATAATATATCGCTGGAAGTTCATCGTCACACGGACCGCAAACAGGAAGCGATCAGTTCACTTAACACTTAGCGAATACCTATCAACAACAACATCATGGAAGATTTACAAGCAAATCAACAACAGATGGTTTCTGGTATGGAGCAGCTGCTCAGCAACTTCAAAAAGGACGGCGCCGACCGTAGGACTGCTGCTCATATCAAAAAACGACTGGAGACTTTGGATACTTACTGGCAGGAATTTCACAACCTTCACCTCCAGGTACGTGAGTTGTGTGATGAAAACCATTCCTACATTGTACAGAATCAATACGGACAAGTTCTTGATTTTTATACAAAAACAAAAGACTACATACAAAGTTTCTTACCAACTGAAGACAAATCAAGACCCTCTACTCCGATCATAAAACCATCAAATTTAAACCCCCCGCCATCAACGTCGTCAGCAACACCGCGACAGGTGGACCGCAGTATTAACAGTAGGCTGGATGAGATGTTGCGTAAGCAAAGTAGCAACTTTAGAGCTTTTAAGCGAACGTTAGCAAACATTGACTTGGATTTGTTAACCGATAAATGGTAATTAGAAGATGCTGTGAAGACCTTGAGTGTTAGATGGAACCGTATCGACTCCCTTCATTAGGAGCTCGACAGCGAGCTGGAGGGTACTAACGTAGCATACGAACAAGAATTTTCCGTCCATGAGAGAAGCTTTAGTGACATAAAGAAGGCAATCAACAAGAAAATATGGTCAACAGCTCATCAGGAACAATTTACACCAAAGCTTGATATTCCTATCTTCAACGGGAATTATCACCAATGGGTTCCGTTCAAAGATCTATTTACGGAATGCTTTCATAACAATCGCTCCCTTTCCAGTGCTCAAAAAATGCAGTTTTTAAAGAGCAAGGTCAGGGGAGAGGCGGAGCGGCTGATACAACACCTACAGATCAGCTCGGATAATTATATTATCTGTTGGGACATTTTAAACAACCGATACAATAACCCGAAACTTATATTCACTTCTCACATGAACATATTAATGAGTTTGCCAGTTCCCCATCAAGCATCAGTGACCAACATCAAGAAAATTCACGACACTACGCAGGAATGCTTAAATGCAATAAAAAACCTAGGAATTGACATAAGCACCTGGGATCCGATTATTGTTTACCTGTTGACTCAAAAACTCGATAACGAAACTCATCATGATTATGTTCAATCTTTGAAATGTCCCCGGGAACTGCCAAAATTACAAGAATTTCTCAAGTTTTTGGAACAAACATTTACGTCGATGGAGTCTGGACGTAGAAAACAAGACAACACTCATCAAAAATCACACATTCCAAGTAATCAAAATCAGTATCCGAAAACTTCGAAATCGAATTATTTCAAACAATCATACGCCAGTAATCGAGTAACAACCCAGCATCCATCCAACATCTCGTCGAGGGGTTCTGCGTCACCTAACTTACAAGCTGTTAAAAACAAGAATTTCATAACATATACATGCCCACTCTGCAGTAAGGATCATGGACTATTCTTTTGTCAAGATTTTTTGGACATGTCTCCACAAACAAGACGTAAAACAGTAACAAAATTAAATGTTTGCCAAAACTGTCTTTTTAATCATCAAGGTAAAGCATGCCTTTCAGAGAAGCGGTGTCGTGAATGCAACGAAAATCATAACACTATGTTACATGACGCCTTCCGGTCATATTCAAACAAGCCGCAAAACAATGCGAATGTGAAAAACAAGTCGTCGATGTCGTCAGAAGTGGAAAATAATCGTGTCAGCATAAGTAACTCCAACGTTACTCAACAAAATAACGATATGACAGAAATTTTATTAGCGACAGCGATGCTCAAGGTGCGGGCCGCAGATGGTACTTATAAAATAATGCGCACACTTATTGATCAGGGTTCGCAAGTCTCAATAATATCTGAGAATGCGGCCCAGCGACTAGCACTTCCTAGACGAAACTGCAAAGGTAATATTTATGGGGTTGGTGTTAAACCTAATAGCTGTAAAGGAGTACTTCACTTAACATGCTCATCAATGGACGACAACTACGTTTTTGACACGTCGGTATTTATCATGCAAAATCTTATCAAACAATTACCAAATTCAACATTTGCTAAACCTTCGTGGTCATTCTTGAACAATATACAACTAGCTGACCCAGACTTCAACATCAGCAGACCGGTGGATCTTCTTCTGGGTGCTGACATATATTCGAACATTATATTACCTGGAATATGCAGAGAAGAAGATCAATCTGTGCCGATTGCCCAACAGACTCGGCTCGGC